TATAATATTGTACTTAAATGAAGCCATTAGATAATTGGCTACGGTATTCATTAAATTAGTTTTTTAAATTAATCTTTATTTATACTTTTTTTTTATTTTACTTATTTTTATAATAACTCGTAACACAATACCTTATGATTTTGTATTTATATTTGTGTATATATTCGACTGTTTTATTTATCATGTTTAAATTTAAATCCGTAAAATTATGATTAAATATGTCTTTTACCAAAAATCTTTTATTTTGCCATTTTTTTATTGTATCATTTAAGAATCTCTATGAAAGATTTAATTATTCATTTTAGTTCCATTTTTTTTTAAACGTTTAATATTACTTACCATACCGTTTTTTTGTAATTTAGCCTATTGCATTCTATATTCATGCCCTTTGCTGACATTTAAGAGGGGTCGCCTAACATACTGCTACGTCCGCCATTATTCGTGGGAAATTCAGGGCGCGTAATCGCATTCTGACTCCCTCATTTAACGAGCGGAAACATTATTAACGAGCGTATACCCGAGTTTTTTTTTTTACCTCCGCGCACCATCGCCACCACCATCGCCGCTACGCCGACGACTCTTCGTCGCTTCTTTTTCCCTCTTCTTTTTCTGAAAGCCATTGTCTATACGGTCGTCGCGGTTTCTCAGCGACGTGGCGTGGGAAGGTTCGCAGGGCCTTAAAGTTCGCGCCGTTCAAGGTGAGGTGATATGCACAGGGAAGTCGAGTGCGCCACTCTAACCCAATTTATGTATCGAGGCACGTTGTTGTGAAGCAGCATTTACACCAAAATCGATGAACGTTTCCCTTTGCGAATTGGTACACTCACGGGAACTCCATTACAGTTGTCATATGATGAGTTCATCGCTACTTGACTATTCCGTGGGGAACTACTGTGATGCTTATGGAATAGCCCACTCCAGAAGTTTCCTATCCGAAAGCCAATTAGCTTGTTTAGTTGTATGGCAATTAGCACAGAATTTATGCATATAGTTGATACTATATGTCACACAAAAGTTTGTAATTATAATTCTATTTCCTTTTAATCACATTGTCTAATGAAGTTATATCAATTTAAGCCAATTTGTGAAGAAAAAAACCGAGCTGCTTAATTTTTTAAAAGGAGGTATTAAAAAGGAACCGAGTTCAAAAGGTGTAAATAAAAGGTGTGATAAAAGGAATAGTATATTTTATGCATTCTGATTACCTGTGTGAATATGGTAAAGTTATTAAAAAGTTTGTAGCATTTGAGAAACACGAAAATTGAACACAATTATTGTGTATTTATTCAAATTGCAATATTTTGCTCAATTTTCGAGGTGTTTCTCAAATGTCATGAATTTTTGCTAACTTTATTATGTGGAAAGTCAAAATCTAAAAAAAAACACTATTTCTTTTACTTACACCTTTTTGAGTAAAAATCGACTTTATTTTAATATTCTCTTTCTTTTATTAGCAAAAAATTGTTTTGACAAACATGCAGAATATTTTACGCTGATTAAAATATGTAAAGATTGTTAATATGTTTTTGAATAAAAAAAACCTTATCGGTAATGATGATAATGGTTTTTATTTTTCTTAAATAAAGCTGTTAATTTTTTGCTTCAAAAATAAAAATTGAAAATTTAGCTTATTGTTAAAATGTAATTTTATTCAATAAACAATAAAAGTAATAAATACTCTTACTGTTAACGTCAATATTGTTGTCATCAATATCAAGTCTTTTCAAAGAGATTTATGATTCAATAGAATCGGTTATAATACCATTTATTCATGTTATATCATTTATCATTCTCTGATACATATTTGTCAACCAGAAAAGAAACATTCTCTAGTTTTCTTTTATTTAAAAAATAATCAATATTATATGGCTTTTTAATACTCAGTCAGTTTTATTTATGATAAAATATTAATTTATAAATCATGGAACTATCCATTTCTTATATATACAAAAAAAAATGACACGGAATATTTGTTACGTTAAATTTACTTGAAAAGTTTTGCAGAAAAAAATGGAGCTGATTAATTTTTACATCAAATCCTCGAATAAATAATGCTTAAGTGTTAATATACAATTACCATTTATTATATAAACTTTCTGGAAAAAGTATCTTAAAGATTTTTTCTATTTTGAGCATTTTAACGATGAGCATGTTGAAATTATGTTAATTTTTTTGTCTGGATAACATTACAAGCCATTAATTATTTACTTAGTTGATTCAAGAAACAAATGGTAATAACTGCGTTACCAGGTTATTGTGTTATTATGTCAGAACAAAGACTGTATTATAATTGCAAATTTATAAATCTAAATTTGAGTATACATATGGCATTCCATAAAAACATATTTGTTGGGGTTCGCACACTGTGCAAGTGGATTAAGGAGTCCTAATTAAGTAATTACTGAACGCGATTAATTTGCGGCAATAACTAATTAGTATCCATCCGCGATGGGATGAATAATAACGTGTTTCAGTAGGGCAATAGGCCTTTCTCATCTCCTCCGCCTCTGTATCTTTAATTACATATTAATATGTAACCCGCGCAGCAATCAACATTTCGACGCGCGTACTAATCGGTCGCATTGTTTATTCTTTTTGTTACAGCCGGAAGAACGCGATTATTCTCAGGACCCAGCTGTCCGTGAGGGTTCACACCATCATAGGTAAGTATCATCTCTTTCTCTCTTTCTCTCTCATCGTAGATTTCTGATTTAAATCTCGCAACGGGCTCCCACGATCCACTTGGATGGCTCATCCATGCCGACCGCGCGCGCTGATTCCTCGACCCTTAACTGGCAGCGTCGGGTCGAGTCTCGTTCTAGTTACTCGGTCACTTGTTTCGGTTCACTGACAACGGCGACCTTCTGCTTATAACTGTAACGTTGATGCTGCGAAGCATTGAGTTTTGATAATAATGATCAGATGGAGGAGGATGACAGAGAATAAGACTATATAAAATTAATGTTTTACGGGCATTTTGAATAATTTTGTTTTACCAACTTCTAATTTTGCTTAATTAAAATTATTGATAATTAATTACCTATATATTATGTATTTTGAGAATAAATAGTAAACTTTATTATAATTTAATATACAGAAATTAAGTAAATAAAAAATTAAAAATTTATAATTAATTCTTTATTAATTATAAATTATTAATTGATGAATATATTAAAATTTATAATATAAAATTAATTTTTTTAAATATTTAATATTAGAAATTGAAAAGATCTATAAACAAACAACGTGTAAAAATATTTCCATTAACAAAATTAATTTTTTAAAATTAAGAAACATATAAATAAAACTTATAAATAAAACCTATAAAAAATTATTTTAAATTAGATTTCTATAAATAATTTGAGTAATTTTTACAATAATAATAATATTTGTTACTTTTTAATATTACCTTTAATTGTAAATATATAATAATTTTATGATAAAATATATTTAGGTTAAACATATTTTAGGTCAAATCATTAGTATTTTACTTATGAGGTCACTTGTTTCACTAGCAATAGCAAACTGTATGACAATGCGACCAATCAATATTTGTGGGTGAATAGTCACGCACATTTAACCATTATAACACGAAGAGATTCAAATGTATAGGGACCGTGTATCATTAATATGAATAATTTATACTGATTGTGATACCGACATTGTGTACAATCGATGACGTCTGACGGATAACATATATGTGTATAGTTAATCATAATAGTGTATTTGTAAAAACGTAGATATTTATATTCATTGAAATTGTACAGACGAAAATTATGTACTGAAATATGTAATGTGATTAAAAATTGTAGCATTTTTTTTATTTAATAGTCTTCTTTTTTTTTAAAAACGTCAGTAGTTTTTTAATATTACAAAACTTTTTGTGATCTAAATTGTGCGAACAATTATAAAAACAATGAATAACGCATAATTAAATTTATAACATGTTTTCAAGCAAAATATAATATTTTTAAATATACGCTACGACATAATTATACAATGTCGTAAACAATGAGCTCTGTTGCCTGTTGATAATTAGCAAAGTAATGACTATGCCGTTGAGTGCGGAACCCTGTACCTGTGAAAATCAAGCTAATCCTTTATCGTGGCTCAGCGACCATCCATCACCGTCTATGACAGACGGTACTTAATCACGCAATGTCGAATAAAAACTCCCTTCGTTCTACATTCTTTTTACCTGTAGCGTTACAAAAATCGTTACTGAAATTACAACAGCAGCAAATACGCACCTCTGCTTGAACTTTTCACCGCGCCAATTGATTCCTAGTTTACAGTTTAGAAATACCTAATTATTTATGTTTATATCTAAACTGTGTAATATATTATGAAAATATTTAGGAATTCTTAATTTTTTTATTCTAGTAAAGCTTTGAAAATTGAAATATTCAGAACGTTCAGAAAATATGATTAAAATAGGTTTATATATTTAAAAAATATGATTAAAATAACTTTCACTTCTTTTCTCTTTACTAGAAGAAATAAAAGACCAACATGATTTGTGAAAATTTGCGTGATTTTTTCAAATTGGAAACAATCATGTTTTTACCATGTGATTGTACCATAAATACTTAATACTAAAAATGGATGACATTATTGAAATTTTTACAAGAATACGATGAGTCAATAGCTTCGGCTTTTCTTATTGACAGTAAGTGCATTTTCTCGGCGATTACCTTGAACGTTTTTATTGACATAATGGAACAAATTGGAATATTGAGAAAATACGAGAAAATTGAAATGTGTCGTGGAGATTTTCGAAACTACTACATTTATTTTACATTTTTTTACGCATAATGCATACTGTAAATGAACTTTTTCAATTAAAAAAACGAATGATTTATTGTTTTATAAATTTTATGAAAACGAAATAAGCGACTTGTATAAGGTATTATTTTGATAACCTTGTTCTGATTAAACCTTATTATGTCTGAATTACTATAATTATCAGCATGCAATTTAACGACTCGTAGAGAAATAATGTCTGTGGAGTTCTATCTACATTAAAACAGGTTTCGATAGCTTATTATTATTATTTATTTTACTTACAAGTTTGCAATATTTTTAGTTTCACTAAATCCACTTATTTATTCCTTTATAATTTTGTAGATTATTAAACTTATAGATAATTAAAATTTTGCATTAAAATTTTAACGAATGTTCCGCGAATATTAAAAATATATTAAATATTTTTCTAATTTATATCAATTTTTTAAAGTTTATTATTATTCAAATTGTTTAAATAAAATTTTCTTCCTAATTAATTTTGTTATGAGAATGTTTTGTACCTGAAAACTATAATAATGTATGTAGAAATATGTATATGTATGTGCGATGTATGATTAAATTTGTTTGTGTGAATAAAATCTTGTCTCTTGTATTACAAATTCTCTCTCTCTTTCTCTCTCTCTCTCTCTCTCTCTCTCTCTCTCTCTCTCTCTTTCTCTCTCTCTTTCTCTTTCTTATTTCTATTAAGATTATTACATTATTTCCGTTATAGTGAGAAGTATTTCTATAAGATGTTCAGATGAGCTTATTTGACTTGCTAACATCAATTTCTTGAAAATAACCAAAGATATTCCTTGCACCTTTTCGTCATGTAAATTATTCCTTATGGGATTGGTTCAGCTGTCAGAGCTGTTTCCTGCAAGTAGACGTTGTTATAATTGTTAACATTTTATTATATCTATTTGTATAGTTGAATCAATTGTAATTGAAAGATTTTTTTATCAATGTTTTATCATACATTTTTTTAGATATAATATTTGCAAAAATGATATAGAATTACAAATTTTTAAATGAATTTTTATATTGTTGCTGTGTGTGTGTGTGTGTGTGTATGTGTGTGTATGTGTGTGTATGTGTGTGTGTCAGTCAGTCAGTCAGTCAGTCAGTCAGAAAGAGAATTATATTTTTTTAGACATGATAAAAAAGGAAGGCTAATAATTATTAATAAAGAATCACGTGTATAAGCACGTTCAGATAGTAGAACGAAATTAGATTGGATGCATATCTTATTTTGTTTCCATCTATCGCTCAGTGTTATCGACTATAATTTATGTAATTTTAATTTCAAATTTTTAAATTGGACTTAGAAAGTTCACTTCAGGAAAAAGATTAGCAGTATTAATATGTTTTACGTACGCGTTAAATTTGCTAATAAATAAAAATTTTGCTAAAATGTTTCATAGTTAAATACTACAGAGAACGAAATTTGCGAATGATGTGTGTCAGGTACACCTGCAGGTTCTGTGTTCTGGTTCATTGAACTCTGTGAAGGCGGTGGAGGAGATAATCGAAGGTACAGAATAAGTAAGAAAAAAAGAAGTTTCAAAAGGGCAGAGGAGCGGAAGCCAAAGTGGACCGTGCCGTTTTACATATTTTAACGGTTCTTCGTGTATCTCCGACCCTCGTGAAATTTGTCTGTCTTTTTTTCATTTTAATCCTTCTTCTCTTCTTCTTTCTATATGACTTAGCTACTTTGAAGCGAATAGTGAAGACGATTATATCTTGCAAGAATATCCCTCGTATTTTATTTATATTTAAATACTATTCCAAAAATATCTTAAAAAGCAATGGATATAAGAAGAGCTTACAGAATAGAGATTCTTAGATAGAGAAAAATTAACCTAAAATAAGGGTTTGTAACGCGTCTGTGAAACTTTGAAATGCTTTAACCTATATAAATATTTTCTCACATATTATTTTTTAGTATATTTACTATAAATAGAAATTCTTAAAATAAATAAATGTTTTGATAATAATTTATGGTAAAAAAATGAGAAACAAATATTAGAATAAAGATAAGACGTGATAAAATATCATCATAATCACATTATTAACAATTATTAATATATATTAGGTGTTGGAATTAATTCGTAGCGTTTTTTAATGAAAGAATGTTATTTATTTCACATGAGCATTAAAAAATACATTAATGAAAGTACTTCCCATCACTTGTAAAACGCTACGAATTAATTCCAACACCTAATATGATTATATGGTTAACAACAAACAATAAAATTTGATAATTATATGAATGCAAAATTAACTTATTGCGTTTAAATAAATACATATGCATCAAATATAAAAATTATAATTGTTATATATCTAAACACAGTTCTTGTTGAAAGCGTTACAATTATTACGTTCCATTGCTCATTTATTAATCGCCTTTTATCTTCGCATCGATGAGCATGAAGTGTACTTATCATGCGGTAACAATTTCACTATTCTGTTTCGCTCACAAACAGATCATACAAATATTTCGCAGCTAGCTGGTTAACTGGACGCATTACATAGCACGAGATGTGCCACGAGAGCACGTTTTCACGTATCACGCGACACATGGATTCGGATTTCGCTCACGCCGAAAAATCTGGCAATAGTATTCGGTTCTCCGCGGAACGGTTAGATGTTTTAATATTTAGTAACAAATGGAAATTTTTACGAATTCTAAATTTTTAATAAATTGATCTTTTATTATTATTTGATTGTAATAATAGAGATATTTATTTTGTCGAATTTTTTTTTATTTATGTAACTTATTAAAATAAATTTATTTAAATAATAAACTCTTAATTTTTTACGGCATTTGCTGATAAATGTTAAATTTAAGACTGAAATTACTATAAACAGAGATTACAATTTTTTATTATAGATTTTAATTTACTGTTATACAAATTTTATAACATCTTATTCAAATAATATTATCTTATTAGATTTTGAAAGCTAACTCACACGTATCGTAATTAGCAAATTTTTTTTGTATTGTAATTGTTTTAAGATACAAAATGAAAAAAATGTGAATTCAATTTATAATTTCTTGTTTAATATTTTTGATATTTTTATATTTTTAAATCGTTTCTAATTCTCTTTGCTACTCTTATATTAGAACAATGTTATATGCCAATTGGCATTGCTCCTGGAACAAACAAATTACGGATAAAAATAGTACATAATAACATTTATCACGCCTCATGAATATTATAATATTCCTTATCATATTACTTTTCTCGTAAATTAGATATCGTCACGACTTTTTCGATAAAATAATTACATTAATAAAATAAATTTTTAATATTGAATGCCTGTGAACTTGTTTATTTTGAAAATATTTACAAATATATAGATATCTCATATTAATATTTTGATTATACTAATTTTTGCATCTATATGAAAATATTATTGCTAAATATTTTTGAAATACTAATTTAAAAGTAATTAGGAACATATTTACATAACTTTAAATATAACTTTAAAGAAATTTAACAAAATATAAGTACACACATTTAAAATATATAAAACGTTATTTTTTCTTAATTCTGTTAGAACCAATTAGATATCTAATCTACAGCTATCAAAATAAATCAATAAATTGTTTAAAGTAGCATAATAAAATAAGCATAATAAATTAACGCAGTAGCATAATAAATTAACATTGATCGGAATGAAAATTAAACGAAAGTGAATATATAGGCGACAATAGCGCATTATGGTGTAGTCGGCAAAGTTGCTTAGCAGCGAAAAGAAGATACCAAGCGGAGACAGAGAAACGGAGCAAAAAGGATCGAAGAGGGGACCTTTGCTTATATGGTCACTGATTACGGAGGAACCAAGGGCCTCAGGGCCTTGAGACCGCTATTCTTAGAAGACGCGTCGTTTGTTCTCTCTTCCTCGCCTCAGCCTTCTCCCCGACTGCTTCGCAACTACCCTGCAGCGAACTTCTAATTACCTTTGCTTGCATATCTCCCTTCTTTCTCCTTCTCGCTCGTTTTTCTCATCACTCCTCTCCTTGGATCATCTCTCTCCTGCATGCATTATACATTTGGAGATCGCGTGATAGCTATGGATTATGCATTCGCACCGGGCCTTCTTTTCCGCGAAAGAAATCGCGAATTAGGTTTGCCACACTGCAAAACTTGGACAGACGAAAAGGCATAGTTACGTAAAAATTGCAAATGAGATGAGGCCACGTTAAATGAAGAGTAACTTTATATTTATATGACATCATTATTAAACAGATTTTATATTAAAAAATTCTTTTAAACAAAAAATTAAGTTTTAGTAAATTAAAAATTAAGTGCCAAAAATTTTATTAATTTAAACTTAAAATTAAAATGTCGACAGTAATAATAATGAAAAAAAAAATAGTAAAGAAATAGAGTTAACAGAAAAAAATGATCAATTTTATACATTATGCTGTTATTTTATACGTTATGCTACTAAATAATTATTTTCAATCAAACTGTACGAAGATATAAGAAAAATAGAGAGAAGAGAAGAAAAAGAACAATGATAAATTGCGCTTATTAAAGAGTGCAAACAGAAATTGCCTTTCGTGTATATAATACATCATATACATGTCCAACTTTTCTCGCCTTGTTTCCTGTAAAATTCCCACTGCATATATTCACGGCATATTGGCGTTTCCGCGCTTTTGCCCGATAACATAGTTCACCAGACTCATTCCTTTTTTCGTCATCCTGACAAAGTATCCGCGAACTTCCCCAGTAGAATCAGAAAATTCCGATATGGCCGGCAAATTGAATTTGCCCTGCCACATCGTCGATGAAATGGAATTCAATTATTAGTAATACGGTAAATCGGTGGGTCATGATTGGAAGAGGATCGCGCACTGAATGGCGAGAGAAAAAACGGATGTGGAGACGAAGTGGAGATTTCGACTGGGAATTCAACGTGCAAAATTAATGGGACTTAATTACGAACCTCTGTTTAATTGCGCATCGGTGCTTGCTCGATTGTTTATCTGATAAATAAATCCATTCGTAGCAGAACAGAGTCAAATGGTGAGCTTCTCAATGGGATCATGAATCCTCTCGAGAGAACAGAGGATATATATTGAATATAGTGCATGTTGAATATCTGCACATTCGCCTTGTATATTGATTACAAACTAGTCGCTGAGCAAATGTCGTAAAAGCGCTATTTGAGAAAAGAGAGATTAATAAATTATTTATGTGATATATTATTTAGTTATTAGATTAAATTTATTAAAAATAATGAGATAGATCAAATAAAATAATTTTGAAGATTGATAAAATAGCAAAATAACGTAATTGGGGATAACTTACAGAATAAAGTAATTCTAGAATGTATTTTCTAAATTTCATATTGATAGCATTTATGTTTGAATGAAACACCTATATTTGGAAATTTTTACGGAAAAAAATTAATTCTTATTAAAGTTACATTAATTGTAACAATTACTTATCCACTTAGCGCAACTATATTAATCTCTCATGATAAATTTCTCCACTTACTGGGCTGGCATTGACACCACACTTCATTAATCCTGTTGTTTTCGTTTGGTGATACTAAAATTAATCTCGACGATGAAGGTTCTCGGTCTTGCCCGAGGGCCAGATTCAATAATCTGACGGCAATTTATATCAAATTAGCGGTGCACGCGTGCGCGGTCGGATGGAATTGCCACGATGGAAGAGGCTACGGTAAACGCAGCCTCTTCATTACGGTCGCTTTAAGTACCGTGATCTGAAAATGGGGTCCTTTGCAAAAAGGGGCCCCAGCAACAATGTGCGCGAATGCGCTCACGACGACGCGTGTATGTGTGCATGCGGTATTATTATAATAAATGGTTGCGTGTTGCTTGTCTGTTGCAGAAAAATTGCTGAACAGCGAGGGCCGCGAGCTGCGACGGGCTCTCTTCTCCCTCAAGCAGATTTTTCAGGTGGGTTTACAATTCGTGATGAGATAGAATGAGCGGGGTCGCGCGAGAAGGCCGGAAAGAATGTATAGTGAACGTATAGCAGACTGGGGAGGATGAAGAAAGCAGTTGAGAGTATGCGACGAAGCTGAACGGATATTTTTGCGCGAAGTTACTTGCATGACGAGTAAATATTTGCATTCGAGCGAATGCAGTTTCTCTACTGTTTATAGGAGACACACAGTTTTTTCTTTTTTTCTCTAAGAAACATGACTTGATCAAAAATTTAACTAAATATTTGATGATTTAAACTCATAAAAAAATATTTATCTATTTCTATAAATTATTTGTAAGGAATAATAAATTCTATAGTATAATTACTGCTTTATTAATAATTTAAACATGATATTTTCTTAAAAAAATATGTACTGAAAAATATAAAATAACGGAATCATTAAATTAAAATATTTATAATTTTTGTTCCCTATTTGGTAACGAAATTATTGAAAATAATTCTTGTTAAATTTACATGGAATATAAATATATTGTGTGTCTTATTATTAAAAAATAATTTTCACTGACTATTTTTTTTTTACCTCTATGACGGTGTTCCACTTTTACGAATGATTTTCTTTCATCGATATTATTCTTTTTGTTGAGAAAAATTCCGACACATAAACTGATATGTAAATTAAAACATGTTTTGATAACTTTTTGAGATATGTTTAAATTTATTATCTTTTAAATGTTTAACTTATTGATCGAATAAATAATATACACTTTCTCTTTCTTCTTCTCTTTTTCTTTTTAAGTTAGTATCTGCGTATTTCGTCCGTCACCTACAATTGTAAAGACTGAAATTATTGGAAATACTAAATTTTAATTTTGTCCTTACTGTGATAGAGGATGAAGAGTTAATTAAATCTTGCTCGCGCATTTAACGATCTTATTCCCTTTTCCGATTATTGCCGCTGCGGGTTTCAACCTTCATCACGATCATGTATCCCTCATATTCTTGCATATCCTTCGTTGTTAATCCGTACAGCTAATCGAATTTACCGTCGCGCAAATCAATTGTACGTTCGCCCTGTATCTAATCTAGTCGCAGGACGTCGTGTAACCGTATATATTTCATAATTGCTTCTGCGAGACACCGGATATCTAGTGCGAACCTCCACTTTGCTTCCTCTTTCGGCTAGTTTCAAGTTTTCCTCGCGGCACATAAATTGAGGAAACGCATCGGTACGAGTTCAATTTCGCTTCTTAATCCGCCGAGCTAATCGAGTCTATGTCGCGCCTAAGTCCCATGTAAACTTCTATCGCCTCACGGTTGGCGGAATGAGAAGTGGAAGAGGGGAAACATGAGAGAATACTAAAGTATACGCAAATCCAAGAGAAGTCCGACTAGATCGCGAACGGCCATGGCGCCGGCGTCGCGGCGCCTTGGAAACGAGGGGGTTTAATCAAACTTCGTAGATTTTCCATTATGCCCGCGACTTTGCGCCTGAAGCGGCATAACTAATTCCATTTAACCCTGGTTGCACGGTAGAGCGGGTTGGGCGGACTTAGGTGGTAATGTAGAGGTAAATCACGCCGTCGTGACGTCGCTGTCAAGATCGGATATCAGCAGCAATATTAGTTCTTCTATGTTTTCTCTGTAGTTTCTTTCAACTTGTTGGAAAGCTTACGCATGTATCAAGAAAAATATGTAAAAACATGAAGGTGCTATGAATCGAGAATAAATTGAAATTTTTTGAAAAACAATATAAGAATTGTTTTTGACATCTGAATAAATGTTCAATGAAATTTTCTTTTATCATACAACGAAATTCTATAAGTAATTATAATAGCTGAAAGCTAAGGATTGTTGATTATTTTCCCTGACCGATTACATTTATTCTGATGTAAAGTAGTTATGCTCATAATGTTTAATATATAGCGTAATATTTGTTCGAGTTTTACATTAAAAATCTTTTGTCCTGATATAATTAAAAAGCAAAGTTATAAATAAATGTATCCAAGTCTTTAGAGAAACACTTCTGCAAATTGTTCCTATTTTATAACATTAACACAGATTAATGTCGTTGTTTCATTCAGTTATAATTAAATTAACTTATTGAATTCAATTTTCTAGGAGGACAAGGATCTGGTACACGAATTTGTGCAAAATGATGGACTCGCTTGCCTGATCAAAGTCAGCAGCGAAGCCGACCAGAATTATCAAAATTACATTTTACGAGGTAAATACTTTATTCTCTTATTTTAAAATTGAAGGTATTTACATCCCTAATGCTTATCTCCAACTTAATAAAATCTAAATCTTTTTTCATTTAAATCATTTCTTCATAATATTATTATCAATAAAATATTTATTTCCTTAAAATGAATTTAGATTTTTCTACAAACGTAATATTATACAAAATGATATTTTCAGTAAATCAAAACAGTGATTTTAAACATATAAACAATTTTTTTTTAAATATGTGTAATAATAGTCTTTTCTAGATAAAAGAAATATTAAGAAATATGTAATATGACTTACATCCACTTTTTTCTAACAATTATTATTCAAGAATTATGACAAACAGTTCTGGTCTCTCCTTCGTTTATTAATTACGATCTCTTCGAAAATCTGCAATTAATTTTTATAACCTGTAATAAATACTATTGTTGTGGCGTACCGCTAACGAGATTCAATAATAATATCAGATGATGATTATTGTATAACTTCCGCAATAATAGCAGTCGGTGCATCTAATTAGACGACGGGAAAGTCGTATCGTAAGCGAACCCGCAAATTGAGTTAAGAGAATGATGCGACCTTGCGGGGTACATGCACACCGAGATTTCATAGTAGACACTACGCTCTCTATGGACGCTCTCTATACGCTCCCACTTTGCTGCAAGTAACGATAAGATAATACCAGCGTAATGCAGCTAATGTTTAACGAGCTAGACATCAACGTCCTCATCTTTGCTTTTCCAAGAAGTATATGGCGACGATGATATTACCGTCTAAAAGTACAGCGAGAGAGAAGGTGACACCAAGTGTTAACACGCCGCGTTTACGAAAGCGTCAACACGTGGAAGCCACGGTGGCTTGCAGTTACTCGTCAAACCGCGATGCGTCGCGAATTATGAATGGCGCTCTTTGATCGTGTCTTTTGAGCGCGGTATCTTGGAATCGTGTTCAAGTACTTTGTAAACCACCAGCTTATACGCGAGTGAACACGCTAATTTCATGTTGTAATCTTATAATGCATTCGTTGCGTTTATCTCTGTATTAGAGGGAGCTGAAACGAATCGGGAACTTATAATGAAGAAATAGAAAGTTATACCAAAAGCAAAGATTTTAGTAAATGCAATTTTGAGGAGTAATTACGACGTTTTAAAATAAAATTAATGGATTCATTCTATTCGTATTTAGATATAATTTAACCATTTTTTTTTATTATATTATTTACTATTTTATATATGTATTATGCAACTCCCTATTATTAAATTTTTATGCAATTTTTTTTTATATTAGTTTACAGAAGTTACTTAGATTAATATTTACAGTTCAATTTTTTATCTATTTTTATTATAAATAGTTATATAGTCTCATCGTGTATACATAAATGGTATCAATGTACCACGTATGTTGCATTTTGCAATCCATTTATTTAAATATTGGAAAATCCTGTTGCAGTATATTAATATCTGATATTTTGATTACACGTCGCGCGATTTATATATCTAGGCTTCTAATTAGATTTCGCATCATAACTTACAGCCTACATAATAGTAACGTTTATCGTTTATTGTGAAACCGTAGAACGTACTTTATGAACATTGTCATGGCTGGCACAAAGTACATCGCTGGTACAAAGCATTGCGCGAATGCCAAAATTTTAATTATAGGAAATCAATATACGTAAACAGTCATTTTCATCGAGATAAAAATCTTGTTTATTTAATTGCACTATACAACTTCCAAATTTACATAGGTTAAATATTGATTGTATAATACATATCCGTAACAGGAGTAAAAATTACTGACTTTCTATTATTCAATATTATTTCTTTGATATTTTATGTATAACATGATCTTAACGAAAATTAAACATTGTTAACATTCTCGCAAGCAAGATCGATTCAGTCGAATTAGTAAATATAAATTAATTCCTGAAAACTCCTTAATAATACAAAATGGTTGGATACAACAGGGCAATAGGAACCAAGCATTTAATTCTTGTGCAAACGGTTAACAAAACAACTTTATTAATAATTAATCCGCTTACATGTTTCGGCTCACTTTTGAGCCATCCTCAGAGACAGTATGTGTGTGTGTGTGTATGTGTGTGTGTGTGTGTGTGTGTTGTAATTACAAAAAAATTTTTTTTTTCTTTACAAACTAATTCATTTCAATGTAATTTTTTTTTATATTATAGTTTCCGTTAATAGGTGAAGGTGGCTTACTGAAATGAATTAATTTGTACAATTTGTCGCGATAGTAACTTGTGCATTTGGTTTGACACTCACTAATTGGCATTACGATTTAATGTAACCATCTGTTATTTTGCGCAACGCATAAGTGATCTGGATTTTTGAGCGCATTTTATTTTCAAGCTGCACACAGTCCACGCAACTATTATTCGACAAAGAACAGAGAAGAGAATTCTAATTTTTTCATTGTTTCTAATTAATCTTGGATGAAGCGGTTTCTACCTGCGGTGCATGAATGCTTGCAACAGCTTTCTTCTATACTTTTTCGCACATTTTACATGCCAAGCGCGCCGTAATTTATTTAGAGCACAGTATAGAGCAGCTTTCGTTGAAATATGCGTGTTTTAAGCGATAACATGTAAGCGCAAACATATTTTTGACCATAACATCATGTAAGATAAAATCTGAGTAAACCTACGAACGCGATCGGTGTAATTTGCCTGTTAAATTTCAGTCGTGCCTGCCTATGTTCGTAGCCCGAATACAAGCCGGAAATCAGTTTCGTAAACAACGAAGCGCATGGTGTAAAAAATAGGTAACGTCGTTTTGGATTGAGCCTCGAGATTGATAGGTTTCGCATCGGTTGCAATGACGGTTGTACTTTTATTTTACGTTGCATATCTACATCGGCAGAGGTCGTCGTTTCCATTTATATTTTTGTTTTCCGATAAAAATAGCGAGATGCCACAGTGCAAATTAAGAGGCAAGATTAATGGTTATATATATATATATATAGTATCAAGAGAGATTCAAAATCCCTAAAAGACTAAAAAGTGTCGATTAATACGGAAAATTTAATGTTATTGGAGACATTGGAGAATATTTAATGTTATTGGAGTATTTTAAAAATATTTTACGACATCATAAAGGGAAGCAGTTATCTGTTTGCATAAAAATTTCTACCTCCGTTAACTTTCTAAAGTGGATGTTTAAACCGTATTTTAAAAAATATTAAATTTTTTACTTCTCTTTTCCGATGTCTCGAGAATCTTTTGAGCCTTAATATTGTTTGAGTTGCCATAAAATCCACTAGAGAGGTACATTTATGAACAACGGCTAAAGGCTCTTTATACGCGATTGTCTGGAACAATTTCGCCCTCCGTATTTAATCTCGCAACTCGTTTGCATTCATGCAGCACTCGGCCAGGTGATGCTGTATGTCGACGGTATGAACGGGGTGATGGAACATGGGCAGACAGTGGAATGGTTATATACGTTAATTGCTAGTCGTTTTCGGCTGGTGGTGAAGACGGCGTTGAAACTACTGCTCGTATTTGTGGAATACGTGGAAACAAACAGTCTGCTATTGGTCAGAGCTGTAAGGGCGGTCGATCAAGCCAGGGGCGTGGTACCGTGGATTAACGTAATGAAACTTCTGAAGGATTATGATGCTGCTGACACAGAGTTGCTTATATACGCAACAACTTTGATCAACAAGTGTTTGAACGGTATCCCCGATCAAGACACGTACTACGATCAAGTGGACTGCCTGGAGGAACAGGGTATGGAGGGCGTTATCCAGAGGTACATGTCAAAACAGGGTACAGATCTTGACTTGCTCAGGCAGTTTCAGATTTACGAAGCGGTACTGCATCACGAAGATGGAGACAGAGGATCGCCTATACGTCAATTGGATGACAATATAAGGTAGGTGATATTATAATTTAATGTTGAGCGTAATACGATTCCTTTTCTTTGATTTGTATTCAAATTAATTAATATAGATCTTTGGAACATTTGGATAAAAATATCATTGGATAAAAATATGTAATTTAGATGAAAAATGAAAAATCTTATGCAAATATTTAGAGAAACACACACACACACACACACACATTTTGTTTCATCTTATAACAATTTTATAATAATTCGGTTAAGATATTTCTAATCCGATATTTCTATTTGACTGCGTAGAAAAACTTTACGAAACCGAAAGTCTCTAGTGGATTCTCACGAAAGGCGAAAATCTCGGAGGCATTCCACGGGTAATTCACCCCTGTCAATGTCTATGAATGCACGGCTGAGCCCACGACTGAATCATACTCTGGGTGTGAATACGCTGAATAACACCTTGAATTCGAACCTACCAGATGATGACGACGAATCAAGTAGTTCTCAAAGTTCTCAGGGTCATCTAGGTGAGGTTCAGCTCAATGGTAGTTACAAAGAGAATAAAGGTAATCATTTCTTTCTTTTTCGATAATTGAGTTTTTAATTTAAATTAATTATGTATTTATATCAGAAAGAAAATTTTTATGCACGATGGAAAAAAAGTCTAATTTATATTTTGAGAAAATTTGCTCATATTTAATCTGTAATAAATTTAATTTGCATATAAAACGCGTTAAGATATACATAAGTGATTCGCTTTATTGAAGAAAATATTATTTGTGTTTTAGTGGATGTTGGTGTTACACCAGCGCTGAGACGACGAAGAGAACGCGCAGAGAGACAGAGGAGCTTCATTAGAGAGCAACAAGAGGCTACTGCAAATCTGAGAGCTTCGCTTGGTCATACTGATGATCAGGAAAGTAAGTAAAGTTCACTTAAAATGCTCTACATGAATATTTTTTTATTAAATCTAATTTATTTTATTCTCAAATAAATCTCCGATTATCACTAACGCGATTCACATTTTTACAAAAGAAAAATCTTATTATCGTTTAATTTTATAATTTGTATGTTTATTTAAAAATAAATAGACTAAAACTACGTATGTATGTGTTACAAAGTGAATATACATACAATTTTTTACAAAATATATCCATTTTGTGAAGTGGGTGGATTTAATGAAATAAATTTTTTACTATAAATTTCTTACTATATACATTTTTTTTAAACAATTTGCTCGGGAAGATATTCTATCGTTACAATAAATATTTTTAATCTTTTGCTATTAAAGGTCAGTTCGCAACAAACAGTCTACGATATACAAACGGTATCTCTTATGAGAGGAACGCTGATTCTGCTTCGAACAAGTTGTCCAGAACGAACAGCAGAAAAGACTTGACGCCCTTGATGAATGCCGCGAACAAGCTCGACTCGGAGGAGAAGAAACCATGGTACGGCAAAAGTCCCAACGAAGGTGTCGAGTACAACGAGAGTAATCACACCGACGAAGACGAGGATCGTCGAGTGGTTCTACAGCTTAAGAGGGAAGGAACTGTCAAGGATCTCACTCAGAAGTTGGCAGCACAGAATCTTATACCTAGCAGCCCTGTGGAAGAGAAAGTTTCCAGGTAATTTCGGGAAAGGCGCTGCCTTTATTTCAAATGCATGCTACTCAATTGATTTATCCTTTTGCACCTTGTTTCTATATTTGCGAAACTTCAGAATACAAAATTTTTATTAAACAGATATTATAAGAACATAGAAAAGTTTTAAAGTTCATTAAATTCTGAAAAAGTATTTAATAATTTATATCAATGTTTTTAAACATTGAAAATTGTATTGTCTTTGGTAACTAAAAATACCAACTATAAAATATTGTCAATTTTCACTTAATATTGTTTACAAAATATTAACTTGCCATATATAATAGCTTGCCCCTTGTAACTATTTGTCAATCAATTTAATCTGCATTTTCACTAAAGTTTTCTTCATTAAACATGAAATGTAATGCGTCTGAACGCAAAAATCAGCTTAACGTTTATTACAAATAAAAGTGGAAAGTAGCATATAAGAATAGCGCGAGATATTGACAACAACAATGATACTAGAAAGCTGGAAAAGTCATATGAACTTTGTACTTTAGTCGGAAATTCTACCGAGTTAATTTTACACGGGATATTGCAAGAGTACAACGTTTCATATAAAAGTTACTTCTTCGTCGGATATGAAACTTTCTACAGATCGATAAGAAACCTTATCTTTTGTATTTTGTCATCAGATAATCTTTAAAAATATATAAACTAAATAATATTACTATAAAGTGAACGTTATTTGAAATATTATAGCGTGATAATAATAAATTAATAAATTAAATTATTAGGGAGACAAAATTTATTGGAATGCTTTCGAAATGATCAAATTATATAATGATACATATACTATACACATACATTTAATTGAAATAATTCTAATTTTTGATTATAAATGCATAAAAGTTTATATTCAGAACTGTCAGAATTAAATGTAGAGATTATTTCCGTATTTAACAAAATTTAAAGCTGCAGTAATTACATTGGGTTTAATTCTTGTACATAACAATTAACATAATTAAAATAATTCAGAAATTCAATATTGGAAAATAATATGATAATTAAATCGATAATCATATGTGTCACTAATGTGTATGAGTGTGTTTTATTTGATTTTAACAGCTTATCTAAATGTAGCTCGTTTCTTGCTTATTATCTTTTATTCTGTAAAATATTGTATTTGTAAGCATTTGCTGTACAAAAATATATAATTTGGATTTTTATGCATGTCTTCAGGATAGGAGATATGAGCGGGTTGATCTCGAAAGCAAAAGAAGGTCTAGCAAAGTCGAAGTCAAAAGCGGACGTACTAAAATCGCCAACCAGCGATAATTTGCCGAAACTGCAGGAAACGAAGAAATCAGAGAATGAACTGCACTGGGAGGAACTGGTAAAAAAACTGAAAAGACCATTGGCACTTTGCGACTTGGATTTCACCGATCTAAATTCCGAAGATGAGATCGATGTGCTGGGATCTGCTAATGTGACGAATGGAGTGCCACCGCCGCCACCACCGATGGCACCTTCAAATGGAGATGCTTCGGCACCTCCGCCACCGCCATTGGGAGCGAGATTGCCACCACCCCTTCCTCAGGGTCCCCCGCTGCTATTCGGTGTCAGTTTGAAGATGTCGAGGCCATCGCTACTAACTAACGAGACCAGTAACACGCCAAAAAGTCCGCCATCGTTACTCGCGAAGAAGAGCAAGAAGACGGTGAAGCTGTTCTGGAAGGAAGTACGAGACGATCCCAACATTCTTGCACGGCTCGACAAACACAAGATGATCTGGGACGAACTAACGCCTGTGGCCGTCGACACACAAAAGCTCGAGCATCTTTTCGAGAGTCGCGCTAAGGATCTCATCACCAAGGTGAGTGGTCTCGATGTACGATTTCTTTTACGCAGATCGTGTTGTTTTTATTATACAAGTGCAACGAACCGCGAGTTTCACTGTTTCGAATGGACGATTGAAGGGAACAACATAAGAGCAATGCTCGTTTAAACGAGGTCTACCCTCGACTGCCTTTTGCAGTGTACATTGTAATTCTATATGATATTATTCAAAATTTTTAACGAGGTAAAGATGAAAGTTATATTTCGCTATGTTATTTATTTAATATTATTTGATGTGTCTTCTTTAAGTGAGCTTTTTACTTATCATCGAGATAGTAATGACTATTACGGCTAGTTACATTAAGTTACATTTGAAGAAAGATTCTTGAAAGAAGATTAATAATGATATTTAATAGCGCATTAGAAAATTGTAATTATAGTTTCCAATTCATTTTTATTTAGTAATTCGTATTGATTTGTTTGTAGTAATAATCGTTTTATGATTCGTTAATTTTGTAGTAATATGAAAAACGAATATTCGAATTTTATTTATGCAAGATTGTTACAACGACTTTATAGAATTAAAGTTCCAATATACACAGAGCATATACCCATAATTTTGTGTACATAAACGCCTCTGTTGATCTAGCAGGTTAGGGTTGCAACGTTTAAAGAAGCATCTTTCTATCGCGTCTGCTTTAATAGAAATGCTCAAAAATATTAGGAAGAAATTATCATTTATTTATAATTAATAATTGTAAATTGACATAGTTACAAAGTGGCAAAAAGAAAATTTTTTATTTTTTTCATTGACCGTAGTGTAAAACAATTACATTCAACTTTCCAATTGCAATTATTTTAAAAAAGAAAATATTATATTTTTATTTCTTTTTATATTTTAAAAACAATAATTAGAAATTTAGAACAAGATTATATTAATAAGAGTTTAGCGCTGATGTAAGAGCTAGGAGATAATAGTCGGGTGTTGACGATTATCTTCATTTATTGTATTTCGGTTCACTTTGGAGTCATCTTCAACGAAAAAGTAGAAATATAATATATCGTTAAAAGTAAGTCACTCGCAGATTGACAGAAATTCAGTAATCAATACGCTCAATGGGAAACAAAGAAGTTCACAAACATTGATTCACAATTTTCATAAGATATAAATTAAAGTAAGTCGTTTCTCAGATTAATATCGTATCAGTTCATGACGTGTTTGAAATCGACAATTTTACGACTTGCTTTAATTTATATCTTATAAAAATTGTGAATCAATGATTGTGAACTTCTTTGTTTTTTGTTGAGCATATTGATTACTGCATTTCTGTCAATCTGCGAATGACTTACTTTCAACGATGTATATTTCTACTTTTTCGCTGAAGATGACTCCAAAGTGAGATGAAACGTTCGATACAATAAATGAAGATAACCGCCAACACTTGAGTATTATCTTCATCTCCTAATTCTTTGCTCTTACATCAACGTTAAACTCTCATTAACCTTGTTCTGAATTTCTAATTATTGTTTTTAAGATTGAGAGTCCTTATTTATATATTTAACTATTTATGTAATTATTTTTTATATTTTATATTATACTTTTAATATTAAATATTATTTTACTTTTAAGTTATCAAAGATAAAGTATAGATATTATTCTCCAATAAGTTAATCAATTTTTACAAATATGTGACCGAACTAATCAAATCTCGCCAATTTATTTAATCAGTTTATTTGATCTGGATTATAATTTAGTAATTATTTTTTTATTAGATGAAACTAATAATTAACTATTTTTTGATATTGCTTCTTTTTATATTAATCTTTTTGAATTTATTCTAATACTTTATAAATATAAATAGCTTTTAGAGTGCTTTAAAAATAAATAAGATATAGAATATCATAACATTAAAATATATTATATGTATTGACTTTTATAAAGTTTCTCTATCTTTTTCTTATAATTAAATTTATATTATTTTAAAAATAAACAAAATTTAATCTTGTTATATAAGTTTTTAGTTTATGACTATTATTTACTTTAACTTCTTTTGAATACATTGGATTTTTAAAATTACAATATATGATCATTCATAGCAATTTTACATCTCATGAGGAAACATAAGTTAGAGAGAAAATATTGTAAAATATAAGAGAAAATATATATGGTGACGTGTACTGCTGATTCTTCTATCACACATAGATAAAATATAGTCACTATGTATAATTTACAAAACGATTTTATACATAAATGTACACACATATACACACACGCACACACACACACACACACGCGCACACACACACACACACACACACACACACACACACACACACGTGCGCGCGCGCGCGTGTCAGAAAACTACAAAAATTTTTTATTGGCATTGTACCGAAGCATTGCAATCGAGTAGAGAATATCATCGTTAATTACCGCAGTAATTACACGGCGCGGGTATATTGGTTTCCTCTCACCTGTGTATTTCACGTCTGTGCGCAACTAAATCGCAGCAAGAGATATTGCACGGTAGAGAGACTGCGACTGGGTTGCGCGTATTTTTCGAGCGTTACTGAAAGCTGCCGCATTATTTCTCCGTTCCGGTTGTTTCCGACACAAGCTCTTTCTCGCCCTTTGAACTCGCTTAGCGCACGATAATTACAGTCGACCTATGTCCGTAAAAAACAATGAAAAAAGTAGCCGCGTGCCAAAAAATTACAAATCTTTGGCGACGAAGAAAGAGCGTAAACGGAGCAAAATTATAAAAGGAAAATTCGCCTTCGACGCAAATAATGATGTTGTGCACAGTTGCACTTGATTTCGTAAATTAGGATCACGAAAGCCGCACATTCCGAATTAATAGGAAAAAAGTCAGGCAAATGCTACACAAATTGTACCATAAAGACAATTGTACAGTAAACTTGATGAGACTAATTTAAGTAAGAAATGATATAATAGTAACGATAAAAACTTTAACTTGTCATATTTATTTATAGAAAAGACGAAATTAATTTTTTCGTGATAATAGAAAATAAATATTTTGTAACATTAAATTAAGAATTTATGACACATTATTTCGAATTTAATTGAATTAATTTTATCTCAAGAATTTTTATTGTATTTTTGCTATTTGTTTCTAATTACTGTTGTTAATTTTTTCTTGAAAAAAATAAGGATTTTTCATAAATTTTAAAAATTAATTTTTTTATATTATATTGAAATTTTATATACATAACTTATTATTATATATAACTTATTGTTCGTACAAAGGTATTAAGAGGATTAGACATCAATGTGTATTAAAATTAAATTGATGTCTTGATTTAGTTTTCTCTTAGAAATAATAAGCTATGTTGATAAAACTATTTTATGATTCTTATTTTGCATATAACTTGTATACGAATTTTATTGAATTTTATTATTGATTTTATGTCTTTAATATTGTTTTCAATATATGAACAAGTTAAATGACATTTATGTCTTTATATCTTTCTTTCTATAAAAATAGTAGATATCAAAATTGACAAAATTTTATTAACATTTATAAATGAATAGTATATGATAGACATATATCTCTTCTATTCTATTACGTAGAAAGATATGAAATAAGAGACTTACTTTAAAGTAAAGTTTAATTCTTATTAACTTTTACTTAGTTTTATGTTCGGCCACGTATGTATATATAGTTATCGAATAAGCGCTGTATAATAATGACGGCTAATTTAATAACGTAGTTAACCATATCATGTGAGGATAACGGTTATGATAACGATCATGAATAACGATTATGATGGCGGTCGGATAGTAGTAAGGGTGGTGATAGTGATGATGGTTTACTGAAATACGACTAATTATCTTCTTGTATTCTTGGCAATGTTGTTGGTGCTCGCACGAAAAAATATGAACGAAATGGCATGCTGGAATTTTACAGGAGGTGAGTCTTAATTCTTTAACTTTCGGCGTTGTTTTAGTGATTGTTAATATAAATGCATGCGTTCTAAATGCGTTCATTTACGAATATTGGTCCAATCGATTTCATGCTGACAATGATGCACTAATTGATGAAAACTTTGCTGAAGGTATTTCTTTCTTCAAGGAGACTGCTTCACATACTTTGTAAATCGCTGTTGTAAGCTCTCTTGCGGTTGTTATTTTACTGTATTGTGCTGGAATTTTTTTACTGTAACTTGATCAATTTATTAAGGATCATTAATAAAGGATGTTTCTTCTAATGTTGTTATGACAATACCTATAATTATATTAATAATTACAATCTTTTGCTTTTATTTCATTATATCGACTTTAATAGCAGATAAACTATTTTGTCAGTGACTAAAACGATTTAAATGAATTTTACGTTGTCTGTAACGTTTTAAAAATCTAATATAAAAATTTTTATCCTGTATTTTTTTTATTCTTAGATGATTTTTATTAAACTGATTTATAATTTAAAAGATTAAATAAATGTGCAATTGGCACCAAAATAAGAAATTTCAAATTTTTAATATTTATTTCGCTTAATATAAATTTATATTTAAAAAATTATATAAAACATTTTATTTTTTAATATACTTTTATTTGAGATATTATTTTAAATTAGCTGCTATTATACAATATGTATAATATACTATAACATATTAATATTATAATACACTTTTTAATTTTTATTTGTATTTATTCTATCTAAATCATAAACGTTTGCATAATTTATTTGCATTGGACATTATGCACATATATTTTTTTGTAATAAATGAGTGTAAACTTATAAAGGATAATTTTATGATTTTATCGTGTGACATTTATTATGTCTATTGCAAAGTGTTTGGAGAACTGTTATCTATAGCGAGATAATTTCGACGAACATCCAACATCGTCCGTATACGTATATATATCTCCACTTGCAATCAAAAGAGGAGAATGGCTACATTTATCCCATTCTAGTGGCGTATTTTCAATATATTCTGATGCTGCGTTTTCACGAATCTATGTAACGTTCGAATGTTTGGTAGTTTTTGTTGTGTTTTTATGTGTTTTTATAGTGGAGTATTTTTATTGTACGATAAAAGATACTAATCGTTCCGCAATAACTCCAAGTGCTACAGAGTAATAACGAAGAAAATATCAAAGTTATATCACGCGTAAATGTTTTGATATAATCGAAAATTTTTTGTTTGTTATTGGCGAACAGAAACAGCAGGAGATGAACAAGAACAAGGAAATTATTGTGCTAAATCATAAAAGATCGAACGCCATTAACATTGGTATGACGAAACTGCCGCCGCCAAGATCCATCAAGACTGCGATTTTGAAAATGGATGCTACAATCATGAATAGAGAGGGTATCGAGGTGAGAATATATTACAGCATTCAAAAACTGCTAAAAAATTAGAAAATATTTCTTACATTTTTACATACAATGCAGATTTTGGAAAGAAAAACGCGAACATATACAATATATTTTGACAGTTTTTAATATTTTTTTAATTAAGTGGAAATTATTCAAAAATTCTTACAGGGTAATTGTTTTATTATTTTTCACTCTTTATTCATTTAAACTATATAGTGTCTATTTAAATTATATTTTTAATCGATTTTTAATCGATTTTTCAACTTTTATTTGCATGAATTGTGTCGATGCCGCTTTAATTTACTGGCTAATAGAAAACTTTGAAAAATTTTAACTTTCTGATGATCAATCCTGAAGTTTAGTTCAAATGCACTTATGTATTTTAGTTTCGAGTTTTTTCTAATTTCTCTAATTTTGGATTGACTTCTTTTTTTCATTTGTTTCCCTCCTCGTTCCAAAATCCTCTCAATAGAAATTGCTAACAATGCTACCTACTAAGGAAGAAAAGTCCAGGATACAAGAGGCACAAGCTGCCAATCCTGACCTTCCCTTAGGATCGGCCGAACAGTTCCTTTTAACTTTGACCTCCATTTCGGAATTGCCAGCAAGACTAAAGCTGTGGGCATTCAAGCTAGACTTCGAAAATTCCGAAAAAGTAAGTCTTAATATTATATTATGTATTTCTTAATAAACATACTATTATTAAACTTTTTAAATTTCTGTTTTTTAATTATTGGTTTTGTACATAAAACTATTTGCAAAAAAATAGGAGAATTTACTATTCTAGTGTCAATAATTTGCAACTAAGCATTTTTTAAAGTAAAATATTACATTATTATTTAGCAAAAGATTATTTAATTAAAGAAAATTTTAACTTGATTACATCTTAATTAATAACATTACATAATAAAAAATGTCAACTTATTAATAGAGATAACATTTATGATTTCAACTTTTTTTTAGATAACATAAATTTTTTCTTTCATTTTTTTTAATCTCTTGCCTTACGCCTTAATTTATGATCGCGCGTGTCACTGTTAGAGACAAGATCGCTTGCGCATCAAACAGTATCTAATAATACACTTAATTTTCCTTTACTGATCTTCTGAGAGCCAATGGCATCATGAGAAAATAATAATTTGAAAATATTAATTCTTTACGAGACATCAAATGTTTAACAATAATATTTAATATTATTTTTAATAATATATAATATAATTTCATTAATTTTTTGTGAATATATATTTTTATATAAAATTATACTTTATAATATAATAAAACAGAAAGACAAGATAATAGAAAAGTAGAGTTTTTAAGAGTTTGTAAATATAATTTTGTTAACAATTCGGAATAATTCTTTCCATGAATCCGACGTAATTTCGATTTGAAATTATATATTCGTTGGATACTATTTTAATACATAATAATAATTAATTTGGCTTTTTATATTTCTTTTCTTCTTTTTTCTTTGATTTCGCGCGTGGATTTCATCACGATTATCAAGGAACGATGGAAAGGAATGTTAGCAATGTAGGAGAGGAAGTCGATAGGTAGAAGAGCATTCTCGACGTATTTCTTCAACGACAAAATGGCAAATTCCGATATTGTACTCGAAGAGAGGTCACTCGACGACCTAACTTTCTTAGCATTGTTCGACTGTAACTGAAGCGTGAAATAGTTCGTGCCGGGAAATGCGAATCATTTTGTATCCACTTGTATATGCTTGCAATATGCGATACGTCATTTCTTAGTCAAATCGATTAATTCAAAAATACGTGCAAAGGAATATCGATGAAGTTAATAAAAAAAAATGTTTAGACCCGAATTATTAGATAATAATGAACAAAAAATTGTGGTTTTAAATTCAAATGTTGAGTTTAAAATTGAAATAGTCATACTTTGCTATTCTGATTTTACGCTTTTAAATTATATAGATTCTAGAGACCTAATTAGAGTCAAAACAGCCATTTTGATCAATTCGCCATATTTTAGCAATTATTGAGAGAGAGAGAGAGAGAGAGAGAGAGAGAGAGAGGGAAAAGATCGAATAGGAAAAACAAGAGAAAAGAATAATAAATATATGTCTTTCTTTTTCGCGTTTGCGAAAACTAGAAATCCTGCATATGAAATGCGGTTTATATCCACTCTAATTAGAGTGTCTCTATGGTAGATTTAATATTATATGAACTTGGAAAAAAAAATTTTAAACATACACAAATTACAAAAATATTTATATAAAAATGGTTCTTATTCTGGTGTTTTCGCTTTTAGTTAAAACATAATCCATGAATTAACGATTTCTTTCAATTCCCATGCAACTATGAGATACATGTTCATGAAAATCGATGATACAAATTATGAGTTTCGAGAAAATAAAAATGGGATGATTTTTGTAATTTCTAGGAAATCGCAGATCCTTTAATGGATTTGAAACAGGGTATGGAGACCTTACGAGTGAATAAAACGTTCCGTGGGATTCTAAGCACACTCCTTTCGATCGGGATATTCCTCAACGGAAATGAGGTAGGTATTGAATGCCAGCCAAATGATATCCACTTAATCCGTCCGTCCCGAGATCGTAACAGTTCAAAACCTGACGATATCGGTAATTTCTAACTGCTGGTTGGATAGAATACCTTTCATGCTACTTGGCTGACAGCCACATTTTTTTGAAAACAATCTCGATTTAATACAGAGTTTTGCAATCACGGTCCGTTATTTATCCTCGGAATAGCGCCGGAATTTTCGGAAGTTTTTGACGGAATATCCACTGTTAAAAAAGTTCTATTTTAATGTATTTTTCAGCAACTAAATTTGCATCAAATTAATTTTCGAGCGACGCAATTATTTCATAGAAATTCTCTATCATATAACATAAAAAAATCTATAAATAAATCTAAATATTTACGAGCAACAAAATGAGACGCACTATTTTTCCGGACGTCGTATCACGACGTGAAGACTTTATTCTTTTTCAGGTGAAGGGCTTTCAACTAGAATACCTCGTCAAAGTACCTGAAGTGAAGGATACGGTTCACAAACACTCGTTACTTCATCATCTTTGCCACATGGTGATGGAGAAGTTTCCGGATTCTACAGACCTCTATTCCGAGGTAAGAATCAGTTAGTTCTCTCAAAACTAGAGAGAATTTTGCTTTGTCGTGATATCGCGATTGTACTATTGTATATTTATGAAATGGAGACTAAGTTCAGAGAGCTCGTGCTCTCTGAAATTGTTTTGTTACGCGATTTTATTTTATTCTATCACATAATCGGTTTTCTTCTCTAAATTTTGATTTAAATCGAATTTTATTGAAGAAATAAAGATAAAATAAAGAAAGAAGTAAATAATTTTATATACAAGTATTGTCTCGGTAGTCTAAAGGCTCAGGACTCTCGCACAGAATGCAAGAGATCCGGGTTCGACTTTTGGCCGAGGCAATATTTTTCGCAATAAATTTACTACAGTTTTTTAAGATTAATTTGAGAAATTTGGGGGGATTATTAATATTTCAGATTGATTGCGTTGAAAGTCCGACAACCATATCGGCACGTAATTATCATTTCTGAAATTAATTCATTTATTTATATATTAAAATATATATATATTAGTTCAATATCTCAACACTCAGACCGTAGTGGCGTTTTGTATTTAAATTAATGTTATTTAACATAAACGGTCTTGTTTCCAATCTTACTTTTATATATCTTTTTCAGATAAATTTGAAACTATGTTTCTTTTTGTATCTTTTTGTATATTTCTTGAAGACAATTGGAATAGTTTTCTCGACAATGCCAACGCGGTTCTGCTTTCAGATTGGTGCAGTAACGAGAGCCTCGAAAATCGATTTCGACGAGTTGGCGGCGAACATCGCGAAACTCGAGAGCGAGTGCAAAGCGTCTTGGGACCATCTCAAGCTCATTGCGAAGCACGATGGTTCTACGATGATGAAGGTCAAGTGAGTATAATTCCTGCCGAGTTTCTTAGCCCCCGAACCAATTTTCGAGATTCTCTCTCTCGTTCTGCTTTCCTGTGAGTCTTTCTAAGTGTTTGTGTTTAAAAAGTCCCAAGTGATTTCGATAAATTCGGGATAGAGTTTTTTTTTCAGCGAAACTGGCTGCTATCCAAGTGGAGCTTCCATTAATTACCGGACGGACATTTTCTCTTCCCATGAGTCTTTCCCATCGTTCCTTCTGCCTGTAATCATTCGCGCTGCACTTGCATTCTCTCAATAAATTTATATTTTTTTATTTTTTATGATATTTTTAATTAGTTTTTTGTTCTTTAAACGCTTTATGCTTTCCACGTATTTTCAAAAAATTAAATAAATCAAAGATATTTTTTTAGTAACGAGAATAACACGTATGCGTATTACATTTTTCTAGTCAATATTTTTTTATTGAATTATTTTATTAGTAAAAAATTGTCAAAAGTTTTACTTGATATATTTCACAGTTACTTGCTGAAACATATATTTTTCTAAAAGGTACATTGTTTTATTTTTATAACGCAGGATGTCTGATTTCCTTGCTGATTGTGCCGAAAGGATAATCGTCTTAGGCATCGTTCACAGACGTATCATAAACCGTTTCCGCAAATTCATTCTGTGGTTGGGTATACCACTGCACAGGATACAAGACACAAAACCAAACGAGTTTTGTAGGATTGTGTCCGAATTTGCTCTGGAGTACAGAACCACTAGGGAACGAGTGATACAGCAGCTTGAGAAGAAAGCCAATCATCGAGAACGCAATAAGACCAGAGGGAAGATGATAACAGAGGTAAGTCATTTTTGTTTTATATCTTTCGTTGAAAACATCATAACGAATTTCATCGAGACTAAAATATATTTATACTGAGTTGGATTAGCTTACATAATATTAATTGTAAATATTAATTAGCGTAGGGTGTTAAATCTTTTCTCTTTGATTTTTATTCATTTGCTATTTTGTTATATTGATATAAGAGTATAAAGTTGTTTTTTAAATTTCATTTATATTTGAATAAAACTATTTAATTTTTTTTACAATATATTGTTTTTATAAAATTTTTCATGTATCTTGTGTAAGTTTAAAATCTCGATGTTCTTATTACAGGTCGGTAAGTTTCGTACAAAAGAGGATCGAGCGGATGCGGAACTCAGACAACTACTTGGCAGTGACATTTCAGATGTCGAGAGTATCCACGGCACTTTACCATGGAGAAGACAGAAGAAAGACGGTAAGTTTTGTCAGATCTTTTTTGTATGATCTTTTTGTACATGCTCCTGGTTGTTTCTTCTTCCTGTTTTAGCGCATTATATCTTTGCATTGGTTAATTTTATCTTTATCATAATAAATTTTGTCTAGCAAATATGCAGTAAACAATATCTTATAATATCTCATTTTATAAAATTCACAGCGATAAGCAATTCATGTTAAAAACAAATTGTTTAAAATGCACAGCATTGTTGTTGTAAAATTTTATGTTTTAATTTATGAATTAAGTAAGAATCACAAGTTGAGTGTTCCCATTTTCGCGATTGGACGAACGAGATATTATCACTGTAATATAACTGCGGTTTTCTAGCCTCTATTTAGTCTCGCTTTTAACTTGCGCGAAAATAACGCACTCTAAAGGACGACGGCTATGTCGACTGTTCCACTGCGGATAAGAACAAAGTGCGAGAATTTCTCTTCATCTCCGTAATGTTCCAGCTCGGTGGTGGCGGCGACGCACGCGAGATAAATGTCGCCCTTAAGCAGCGGCTCTTGCAGGCAAGATTTAAGGATAGCGCCGGGTCATTTGACGACATTACCGGAAAACGAGAAGTAAATGCGTTGCCGTCTTTGTGATTATACGATGCGTTCGCGGACATACAGTTTTTCTCTCCTTCCTCCGTATTTAGTCGAATGTGAAACTTACCGACTCGCATAAGTCACCGTTCGTTATCTTTATTGCTTTTGCACGAGGATACTCGTACAAGTTTCTCTTTTATACGACTCGGAATTTTCTTGCCCAAAATTCGCGATGATGTTCGAGATTGCGTATATCCATTATACTGTTAAACCGTAAATGTAACTTGACAGTAAGTAGCATTATCATTCAGTTGCGAGAAGCGTTAAGGTAGGATGCCTTCGACGGTGTTGCTTCATAAATTCGGTATTCATGAGAGAAAAATTTCAACTTGAGTAGAATTTTGTTTTACTCACTCTTTATTGCGCTTTACGCGCGCTACATAAGATGATAACTTTGCCTCAAGAGGGCAGAATGTAAAAGTAGTTAACTTCCAGAGGGAATATTCGAAGCGACGTGGATATTATTCGAGTCGGCGCGAAAAAGTATCGCGTAAATAACAGTCTCTAAGAAATTTATTCCTTGAATTTGTTCGAAAGAATTCTATTGGACTCGATGTTATAAGTTTTATCGTAACAATGTTCACAAACTTGTTATCTTTCGTACTTTCTTCTTGCCAATTTTCTTTTTCTACGAAAGTCTCTACGAACTTGCTATCGTATTTATTCTTTATATGAATAAATATTCAATGAATAAAATTAGCGAGTCAATATTTTTTTACCTTAAGAAGAATATTTCAAATTGGTTTACTTTTAAAATTAATTACTGGAATTTAGATCTTCATAATTATTTATAATAAGTATAATAATCAGAAAATTAAATTTAATTATTTATTAAAGATCAACCACGTTATAATAATTACAGATTAAGATAATACACAATTAATATGTTTATAAATAAATATACTTTTACTTTGAAATTATTGGAAACTCTACTCATTCTGTGGTTAGGTATCTTCTTTAATTGAATATTTGGAATATTATGATTCTATTTCATTGTAATGAATACTACAATAAAATAATTTCATATTAACTATCTGCACAAAAAGCTATTTATTTAAAATAACGAAGACCCATTGTTATTATAATCAAAATCTACGGCAAAGCCATCTTGGAAAAAGATCCAGCAGAAACGACTGGCATATCCTGGATCTTGTAAGACTGATATTACGTTGTAACTGTGGATCATCTCTTTCTTGGGGAAACGTGGAATTTTTATTCCCGCTTCCGCGCAGAGGGGGATACGCGGAGGATTGGGCCAACTCAAGGAACCAAGTGGTTGGTGCCCATCCGGCTCGTAAACTCAACCACCCACGTGCATTACCATGGCTGCGGCCATCATAACTTTTCTCTCCTTTATTCCCTTGTATGCCACGACATAAAGTATCTAAACGTCCCGTCTAAGTCGTGCTGGTGTTTTCAGCTGGATAACCCTCCAGTTTCCACAGCTGGAAAAGTCTCGTAAGTTGTGCGACAAGGATCGTGGACGATTCACGATGATTTATTTCAACAATTTGCTGAGTAATATAACAATACTATGAACATATTAGATACAATTAATCGTTATACGCAATTGTTAGCTTTATTCTCTGTTTCTTTTATATTATTTCTATTATAGCATTCTAGTTCTACTAAACAAAATTTAGTAACTGATTGCGAGAAGTATGAAATTTCTTGAACTTCTTTTCTGAATAAAAATGTTACAAATATTCATACTTTTTAAAAAAATTAACTTTTTTATATTTACAAAAAAAAACGGATGAACATTATTAAAAATTGTAAGAAAGTTTTTAAAATAATATTAATGGTGATGAAACTTTTATATTTCACATTTTTTAAGATAAAAATAGAGAGTTGTAATATTAAAAAATTGAAATGTCAAAATAAATAATAAATATAAGACGGGAATATTACATTTACAATGCTATTCAATTATTAAACGCAACTTGTGTGATTGTATATTGTTTTGATCAAGTATATTTTAACAATCAACATTAAGTAAAGTAATTATATAATTTCTTGACTTATTTTTAATCATAAATTTATTGCATTATTCCTCAATTGCTTATATAATGATGAGTACGTTAAGTAGAACATATTATCAGAGCCTGCAGATCAGATCAACAAACAGGAAGCCATTTGAAAGCGTTTAACATTCTTTATGGTAGAGCACCACGAAAATGAATTGTTTAAATTGATCTGCGGCCGTCAAAGAACGCGTAATTGGCGACTTAAGGATCTCTTCCTTCCTCTTTTCGTTTCATTCATGAAAATTCTATTACCACCCTCTCATCCTCTTTCTATTTCTCTTTTTCCACAGTCTTTGTATCGAGAGTGTACAGAACTGTATCTACGATAGCTTTTCTGGGACGAGTTTGAAAGAAGCTCTAGAAGAAATTCTGTGTATTTGACAGTTTTGAAGTTTCTGCCCTGCGGACTAGATGTGGTGATTGTAAGAAATGAAATAGTGAGACGATGTGGAAGAAAAATCTTGTAGATATGCGATATTCTATAAAGGATTGTCTTTACTTGTCTTTACATTTTCCTTTTTGAACATATTTTCCATGAATAAATAGAAAAATGTATCTTATAACTGTAGAAATTGTGTGCTTAGTTGAACATAATAATTGAAATCAGCATTAACAATTTGCATTGTCATTTAGCTTTTTTCTCTAAATAAATTTTTAGAAATAAACACAAAATTTATTTTATAAATAGAAAAATTTTGTTCTTACGACAAATAATTGGATTATAAATTTAAATTTATTAATGATTTATACATGGAGAAAATTTTACATTAAGTTTTAATACAATTTTAAATTACACTTTACTATGTCTTATTTTTGATAGACCATCACAACAATGATTCCGACATAACTTTTACTATAGTAATATTAATTTTTATCACATAAATAAAGTAATTTTTATTAAAAACCAGTGCTTAAGTCATATTCTAACATGAAAACAGTTAATTTTTATTATGGTTAATTTTTATTACACAAACAAAATTTGCTATATATTTTTTACTTATCTTTACAATACTAACTTTTATTCAACAAGTTTTGATTTTGTAATCAAAATTTTTTTCTATGAAAAAGTGTAAAAATTACATTGCATTATTGTTTTTAAAAAAATAGCTATAGTATTTAAACTTATGATTATCATGATAATCCGCAGCTTCTACAACATTATAATAATTTTAAATATAAAATTTTCTCCGTGTATATCTAATTTGTTAATATATGCAACGTATATTTATAAATAATACAGAGCTACGCAATATATGTTTTGAAAATAAAACTTACAAAAAAAATTTAGAATGTATTCATAGAGCAACAGAAGATATTATTATGTTCTAGGACGTATAATTTCACTGGGTCCGGTACTCAGGGACGAAAGCACCAATGGTAACTTAGCTGATGGCGTTGACGAATTATTGGAATCTCTGGTGAAAACCGCAACAAAAACGCCAGCCACTAGAACCACGCCACGCGAACGCAAGAGGACCAGACACGCCGATCGTAAGTCTTGTAAGTGTGATCCCAGCACCATGCACCCAGATTCTCCTTTTCTATCATTATCGATCGATCTTTGGTCAAGAAATTGATTATCAATCGATAATTTATTACATTCCTAAATTATAGCATATCTGTGTATGAACAAATATTTCATCAGGAAATTCGTCAATTTTTTAAATTACATTACATTACGTAATTAATTAAAGTGCGATAATTAAAAACTTTAAAAGAAGCAAATCAAGATACTTGTAATATTATTAATAAATGTAATCTACAATATTAAGGACTCTCGATAATTCAGCATAACAATGAAAAAAAGAAAAAAAAAGGCGATGAAAGTTAGTAACTAGTGCGTAGTTAGAATAATAACTCTTCAATAATTTAATAAATTAGACAATATAATAAACTGGACATTTTAATTCAATTTTTAGCCATCCTCAATGAGTAATTAATACAATAATAAATTTAAACTGAAGTAATTGCATCAAATTTATATCTTTTCTTTGCATAATTTTTTGTACATTATGCGCATTATCGTGGATGAAAAAATTATATTAGTAAAAATAATGCATGTACCTGTTCCCATATGTTAATTTTTATTTTATGGTAGCTGAATATTATTTTAATATTGTATAAAATAAATTAGAGAGAAGAGATGAGAAAACAGAGAAAGGGAAAAAGTGAAAGATAAAGGGAAGGGAAAAGAGTTGGAACATTTTGTTGGAACAATATAATGGAACAAAAATTTATAAGTAGCGTGAAAATTTGCCATTAAAGTTTTATTGGTAATAGAAGGTACTGGGCGTTAACCGCAGAATTTTCCAATAGCTTCCAACGCCACGAGAGCCTTGAATTATTCGGTGTGAAGTATACATTATTGATAACCGTTGGTCCACAGATAGAGCTATGAGGCTACCAAAATCGATCGATAAACGAGAAGTTTGGAGATGTCGGCGTCGACGCCCTAGATCGAACATGCGATCGTACGCGTGTCGTCGATTCTATCTTATACTTTCCATACTTGCACTTTATTAGCACCACAGCCTATTTTTACTTTAATGCCCGTGCTCATTTATACTATCTCAACTTCTATTATTACAACTGATCGAAATTTAATAATAATGTCTTGTATTATAATAAGAAACTTTTAAATATTTTAATTAAGTATTTAAATAATTTAATTAAAATAAAGTGTCAAAGTACAGTCTTGTTGAAATAAAATTTATTTAGAAAACTTAAAAAGTGAAATTTATTCTTTGGGATAAGATGATTCAGATGATTCCAAAATATAAATAGAGAAATATGTAATATAAAATTGTAAATGCTGATAATAACGCTTAATTATGACAATATAACGCATATAATATGACGAGAAAAAAAATATTTGGATTTAATGTGTGTGCGTGCGTGCGCGCGTGCGTGCGTGCGTGCGTGCATGTGGTGTTATTTAAGTATGGCCAATTACAGACTACGTTTAAACACCAAGTTAATATTAATGTTTATTTAAAATTTCAAGTACTTTTTTTTAAATATTTTTGAAAATTTTTTTTGTTTTAAAATCTTACATATTTTTTATTTAGAATCTGGTTAAAAGATACAATAATAAGAAACTTTTAAATATTTTAATTAAGTATTTAAATAATTTAATTAAAATAAAGTGTCAAAGTAAAGTCTTGTTGAAATAAAATTTATTTAGAAAACTTAAAAAGTGAAATTTATCTATTCAGAAATTAATAAGTTAAAATTTTTTAGTTTTCAATATTATATTGAATCATTTGATTGAGTCATTTGATTAAAATTTTACCAAGGAAAAATAAAATTATCTTTGAAAAAAGTCTTCTAAAGAAAATGTTTTTAGTCTAAAGAAAATGAAGTTTATGAATCTCATGAAAAGTTGTACAAAGTGGAGAAACACAAATAATGTGCAAAATTTCGATGTAATTCTTATCAAATGTAAAAGAAATTTTGCCGGAAAATGCAGTGATTAGAGCAGAATGTACGCGTGAACATAATTGGAAATCTGGTAACGGAAAATACAGCAGTCTGATATCGAGGTAACATAACGCAGCGAGTAGATTGTGGCGTTTTTTCGTTTTTATTTTGCCGGGCCAGTGATCGATCTCAGCAGGCAGTTGAAATAATCCTTCCGATCACCGAGTGGCTTGGCCAATCTTTCCTCTCGCGATACTTATGATAAGCCGGTTCAGTACGCGTCCGAGCGCGTCGAGCACGTAGCCCTGTTCCACTATTATTCAGAGAAAAACGGTGTATTTAGCTTTAAGCGATTTATACTTCACTATAAATATAAATAATTTTCTGTACTAGACAATTCGAAATTTTTCGAATTTTTCATGTTTACATAATACTATTATTCATTAAATGATTTAAGAATGTATTACACGTACTTTTTAACAAAATTAAAAAATTATGAAGAATTACAGATTGATCTGTATTACATTTAAAAGTATATAATACAAAAAGTTTGACGGTGATTTAAAATTGAATCAAAAACGATTTTAATAATGATTTCATAAACATACATATTTTTAAAAAATAACGTAATAAATAAATTAACGTAAATGAGAAAATTTATCTCATAATTATATTGTTAAATATGAATATTGGTCTTATTGAATTGTTTCATATATAACATTTATTTGTACGGAAAATATAAATTTCCAATTCTAGTTACTTTTTACAGAGGCTGTTCATCTTTACAGTTTTAGATTTATAATAAGTATTTAAAAATTCTTTATTGTTGTTAAAATTTTGAAGGAATTTTAATAAATTAATTAAGATTAACAAAATACTGTATTTTGTGAAATGCAACCTGTCACGTAATATAGTAAATTCAAAAGTGCGTGTATAAAATTTGAGATAAATTAAAAAGTAATTGTAAAGAGATATTACTTATCGCTACGATAGCATGTTCGGCCTAACTTTCCAAAGATATTTCTCGGAGGTGGAGAGTCTATCCTGCTTTCCCTCTTCATCTTGTTCCGATCCATTCTTTGTTCAATTATCCTTCTCTGATCAAATCACGGAATCTACGGTGATGGTCTTATTTTACCTTCATGTTCAATGATCTACGAGGTAGATTCAAAGATTATTTCTAACACAACTTGGACACGCTCCAATAACTTAACTTTAGTTAAGATTAGCGGCAAAGCTTGCTAACGGGGTGGCCTAGCGTTCTTGCGTCTCTTTTCTTTCTGTCTGACAGTGAAGCGATCGCGCACCCGAGAGAACAACACCACGCCGGAAGGGTATCAACCCTGATGGGCCAGGGTTTACGTGATTTCTGCGATTAAGGTTCGGTGCTTTTTAAGTTTCCTCTTTATGGCCTTTTTCTTTTATCCAGCATGACATGACTGTCTGCATGATCAAAATATATTGTTTTCTAATATATGGTATACTAATATATTGATTTTGTGATATGTTTATTAGCAAAATTGTTAATTACTAAAACGAATTGATGACTTAACGAACTATATATTTTTACTCTTTAAATTTATTCAATTTACAAATTTAGTTTGAAGCGCATATACATATATTATATCTTATTTAAAATTACATCCTAATGAAAATCGTTAAAATAGCATAAAATTTAATTTTATTTGATGTCAGGATGCTGTCATGTTAATACTAATTTATAATACATTTTTCAGTTTGCAATCATTAAAAAATTGTATCTTTACTAGCTCAATATTAAATTGGTTTGGTATTAATATAAATAAATATTAATATAAATAGTATTATATCTCAACTTTTATGAAAATATATTCTGATTATTGCCTCGGATTAAACTATAAAAATAGGAATTATAACAAAAAAATTTATATAAATAAAAACAAATTATTATCTTTTACAAATACTAATTAAATTTGCACATTTTTATCAAATCGATAGTTATATAATAGTTGTTTTCTCTATGAAAAGTATTAGGGAATATAAATTACGACTTCTCGCGGAAAGCCAAAAGCTATTCGGAAACTTTGAGACTTTGCTTTTGGATAACCGAATACATTAGGATCGTGCGCTTTGAACTTCATGCAATTTTAGTCTCCTATAATATGCGTAAGTGAGGCTAAATTGCGCTCGTTTGAGAGGGGTGGAGGGGTAAGTAAAAAGTTTACTTTCTAAATAGAGTTGGGGTGTCTAAGTTTCTCGACTTAATAGAGACTTACGCAACGCGAGTGTCCCTCTTGCATGCGAACTTCCGACGCTTGGTATAAACCCACACGCTTTTCATCTATTAGCATTTAAAGCTCGATACGAGTGTTCTTACGACTCGTATGTATATATAAATGCATGCATATTTATAAATATAATCCTTAGCAATTTTGATTATATCTCATCAAAATGTAAACTTCTATGGAAATCGGCCACGTACAATCTTAATATTTGTCTTTCTACTTTATTTTTCTACTATATTTATTTTTCTACTTTATATTTGTAACCATGCTCAAATTTATTGTATCTCGATATAACGTGTATAAATTAATGATTATTTTTAATTTTATTTCTTTTATCTTAAAAATGTAGCTCTGGATTATTTGTGATTATTGTGCAATTATTTATTTAGTTATTGCAATTTCTTCTATAGAAAAGGATATAAATTAAATTGATTTTTGAAAACTTTTAGAAGATGTTGCTAGAAAAGACATTTAATGTACAAATATAAAACACAGATATGAAATCATTTTTAAAAATGGTACTTCTTGAGTACATCAGTGACAAGAGTTTAATATAAGATTGTCAAAAACAATAGATAAATGCATTCATTTTTAGTGTTCTGCAGATGTTAAATCTTTTTGGCATTATGTGAAGAATATTGGTATTCGACTTGTAAGAAGTATCTGCTTCCGCTAGAATATCCGTATATCAATTCGCTCAACATTCATGTTCCTAAATTATTGATACGAAATGCTTGGATTGGCATCGAATGATTTATCAATGTGCGATCGTTTGAGCATAAACTATGATTTTGATTACCATGCTAACATCACGTTGAACATAAACCGCCAATCTGTGGCTCGATATTTCGTACATTATGGCAATTGCTTAACGTGTTGCCAAAATGAGTATTAAAATTGAAAGACAAAAACTATAATTATAATTTTCAGAATTTTTTTTTAAATAATTCTATAATAAAAAATTATTTGCTTAAATTACTTATTTTATCAAAATATATACAATATTCTCCTTTTTAATTCAAACATGTTCTATATTGATTAAAATTTAACATTTAATATTTAATGTTTAATTAAATTTATTATATATTATTTAATGAAATTTAATATATTATTAAATTCAACATTTGCTAATTTAGAAAATATTAAAATTACAATAATTTTTTTATAAAGCTGAAAATTCAAAAATACCATCCAATAATGAGATGTTGTAAAAAAATTAATACGTGCGCGGTATTCATTTGCAATTAAAAAACAATATAATATTAGATACATTTGTATTTAATATTATTGATATTTTGTATCTAATATATATTTTTACACAATCTTGTTCTAATTTAATATATCATTTTCAATAACTAATTGTCATGACAATCTAGCACCGGCAATCTATTACAATGTAATAATAATATATAATATTAAATCATAATCACATTTACTCATACAATGGAAACTCAGTGTCATTATAAATTCGCTCAAAAGCTGGGAAAGATAGATAAAAGCTGTGAGATCTGGTCGCAGCAAAATCGGTTTACATTCCATTAACAACGCGTTAACAGCACGACGCGTAGGTTGCTTGTATTCATGTATGTACCATCCGTGCGCCACGTGTAACAGCAAATAATCAGCCCGCGGACTTCATGTTTGTAAAGTCGCCAGAGCACGAGCGATTTAACTGAACAACATTAAATTGAAACGCCTCGCGGCACGAAACTCTATTGATTCGCAACAACGAATGGGAAAAAAGGAGGCAGAGAATTATTACCCGTTTATATATGGTCGTTTATATGAAAAAAATTAAAATTTAAGACAGCAGATTAACAGCTTGAATGTAATATGATAGGAAGCAAAAATGTTGCATTTATGAATATTTTAGTAATTTACGCAGAGATTGCTGTTTACAACGCTGAGAAATATTTCATATGTGAGTTTTCATGGTGACATGTTCACTATTTACAACCTACACAGTCTTACAAAAAATTATTAATTCATAAATATTTCTATTAAAATTGTTATAAGAGTATTTATCTCAGTTACTCTAATTTTTAACTACGACAAACGGATATAAATATTTAAACTTAAAGTGTCATTACTTTTTACCATGAGAAAAAGGATTATACAAGATTTACTCTTTTGCCCATTTACCCTCTGTGCCTTTGCAAACGCAAATGCGTTGGTTACGAGGATAACGAGAAGGATCAAAGGAATAGCGGGCAATTATCGAAGAAAGAAAATATACGTGTAATGTTGGTAGTTTGTGATCGAGAGTCCTTTGTTATACGATATTATAGATGAAAGAAACTATAACATTATCGATATCGAGGGTCCTCAACGATAGTATTATCTCCGAGTAGGTACTTTACATCACGTTTATTGTGGTCGTTTGTGTTATCGATTCCACGTTTGCAAACCGTAATGAAACCGTAATTACCGGACAATGCGCTAATTTGTCATTGACTTTAATAAGCAGGATTAATTGTAGTGAGTATCGAATTCGAAATAGTTAAAATAATTGGTCTTTTTTGTATCTTGTAATCTCTTTCCTATTTTTATTAATTAATTTTAAAATATTTCAGAAAATAAAATTGAAAATATTTCAGAAAATAAAAATAAAAAGCTTTAATAATAAATCAATTACCATAATTAAAGTCTTAAATTAAATTAACAGGACAAATCTATTTTTTTCATGATATAATATTTGTAAAAATAATGTAGAAACTTAAATTTTACAAATTGGAAAAAAATAAAGAAAGAATGTATTAAATTTTACAAAAAATAAGCAGAATTGCTTTCCTACTTTTCTATCAACTTCTATATAATTTTAAAGAATAGTATTTAAAAAAAATTTATATTTCTCTCTCTTTTGTCAAAAGAAACTTTTGTATTGCATGTCACATTGCATTTTTTTACCTTGATAAAAATTTTTAATAAATACATTTATTTAATTTTTGCTTTTCAATTTATAAAATCAAAATTGTACAAATATTACATTTTTACATATACTGCTACGTATTTGTCTCAGTATCATTTTGGAGGAGAAATTTCAAATGGATTGCAGTAATTACCTGTATCCACCAACAACCGTTGGCTTTCGTAGTTGTATTCCGAACAGTTTGTTTGCTATTGGACATATCGGCAAACCATCACGTCGACTAATCTACACACAAAGCAGTAAATTAACTCTCGGTTAATTATTTACGTGATCGAAATAGTGCGACATGTGTAACAGAATTCCGATATACACTTGTGTATATTGATACTGTTATTAATATCTTACCTGATTATGTCGGTATTTCAATCGATGGATAAAACAATAACTAACAACAACTTATTTTAATTATTGTGAATTTTCTTTTAATTTTGTGTAAATTGAAAACTTGATCAACAAGCTGAACGAAATTGAACAACGAATGTCAACAATCGCTGCAATTACTGACGGCAAATTAATAGAAGTTTAGTTAAGTCTCAATGCGCGAGCCTAAAGATTATGTATGAAGTTCTGACTGAAGTGCTTGCAGCTTATTAATTAAACGTTGTTCAACTTAATACGATTTTACATCAGAGACTAATGAAAGAGAACTATTAGTATAGAACTAATGAAAGGACTAACGAAAGAGAATTATTAGCATAGGAAACATTTCAACATTTCGTAGGTGATGGATTAATACAAAAGTGATCATATGACATCAAAATTTTATTCGCCATTACAATCTGGTTGTTTCTTCTTTATTTTCATAGCATGTTTCTTGGAATGCCTCAATTTTATAGATTATAATTTTCTCACTTGTCCTATGTTTTATGTATATACTATTCGAAATAATACATATTTCACACATTGAAAATAATACGCTTTTAGAAAATTTATCTTTTTGTGTGTTTTTGTCAATTTATATTAAATTTACAAATCTACGAACAATATCAAAGACGCTACACTAGAAATGTAACATAAATACATTACATATCGTTATTTCATTTTTGTTAATTTTTTAATTGAAAAAAGTTTTTAGTAAATATTTTAAAAGATTTCAAGCAAAAAATCTACATTAACATAATAATCTCAAATAATAATCTCAAATACTTTTGAATGCGTCTAAATTTTTATTTTTATTTTAGAAAAACTTAGAAATTCTTTAAAATTATTAGATTAATACTTATTAGAGAAATACTTTTAAATTATTCTTTGTTTTAAAGATTAATAAAATATTTTTATTATATGTATAAAAAAATATTATAAAGGATAATTTATATATTATCACATAAAAAGAAGATGAAAAAAATGTAAGTCAGTGTGACTCATTTAAAAAGTTTTATGTTACATTTGCTTACGAGGAAATAAAAAATATTATTATCGCAAACCACTATGTTATGCTTCTCTTTCAGTGCGTAGAACGTTAAAGAACGGTCTCTCGGAAGAAGAGAAGAAGCACATCGCCGCCTACATCAAGGGCTACTGACTGTGATAATACTCGAAGGCCACGACATGCTCTCACGAAACAAGACGAAGAAAGAATGGAAAGTTAATACTGCGAAGGGGCGGAACAGTGGAAGCTCGGTGAAAACATTGCGACCTCTCCGTCGTAGATCTTCGATTATAGGATCCTGTTTTCCCCTATTACCAGGGGAACTATTACAGGCTCCGAGATCGAATCTGATATCGACGATCGATTCTACGACACGTCGCTGACGTTCGTCGAATTTAATATTTGCGTGAAGCCCCATGTGCACTTTATGTGCACCTATCATTCGATTTGCTAAGGTAGGATAATAAGTATGAGCAAAAAAAAAACAAGAAAAAGATATTATAGTTTTGTTGAATTAAACAAGTATTAATCGGTGATTTAGGCTTAAGCCAATGATTGAGAACAGGTATTTCTCTTAACACGTCGTTCGCGCACGAGAAACAATATCTCGGATGCGTATTAGGAATTATTATTTAGGAATGTCCTTATAGATAGATTTTTGTTATGTAAGTCCTTCTGTAAAAAAATTTTTTTGTTTTACAAAATTTTCCTTATTTTGTATAGAAATTTCTGAAAATTTCAAGTTGTTTACGTTCCCTTTTGCCTCTTTGAAAGTTATTACACGTGTTGTGCGTATATTATATACATTTTACGTATGTATCGTACTCGGTACTTCTCGGAAGATTCACTTGAATCGCGGACGACAGGGTCGACTTGACAATCATATAACATCACGTGCCTCGACGAATTTTTATAATCGATCGATTTTTAAGAGCGACTACTCCGAGTAATCGATGCTTTTGTTCGCATCGATCCATTTATAATGAAGAAACAGCCATTTTGCATACGAAGTAAATATATATTCTAGATTCTAGAACGATTCCTGTCGAATAGCAAACACATATCGGACGACATAAATCTGCCTAGCAGCTTAATTATTTTAATCATCATTTTATTATTGCGTTTCGTAAAAACGCATAATCACATTCATTGTAACTTTCTGTGGAAATGATTCTTTAAATAAAAGGAGACGCAATTATAAAAATAGATATGAATATGTCCTTTTCTTTCAAAATACACATATTTTATTTTTTCAGAGAAAGGCAACTTATTTTAAGATTTAATACTTTCTAGATTTCTTAACCTTGATTTTTTTATAATATAAAAGGTAAGTTTTATATTAAATATAATATAAAGGATTAATATAACGCGAAGGTTGAATAATTATGAAATAATTATAAATTATAAACTAATCTTTAAAAACGTATTTCAGTTCCCTTAAATTCCAAAATTTGAACTTTGTTTTCTCTTCAGTTCTTGTTTACATAAAAAAATAAATGATTAATAAAATAATAGTTTTCGATGCAATAAACCTTTTACTTTTATAATCCTAAACATTCTAGATAATGACACTTCAAATAATAATAAAAAATAATAAGAATGATTAATATTGTTAATATGTCCGAAAATATTGTTGTTCCAAAGCAAAATGAAACAAAAGTCATTTGAGAAATGTCATGCGTTATGTACGAAAATTAATTGTGGCAAATATAGCCACTAATATATGTAGAAATATTTGATTTGTGTGCAGATCTATAAGACATATTTCATCGTATTTATAACTGTTGCGAATAAACTTTCAGACAGGGATGCAGAAATTGAAAGAGGTAGTTATATAACAAACTGTGCTCGAGACACACGATTTATTATTAACCATCATCCAACTTTAACAACATACAATATAATGTAGTAATAAAAACGTATCAGTTAAAATGTAATAATGCGACGATAGGGGGATGCTCGCGTAAGAGCGACCATGTTCATCTCCACTACGCATCCTCGGGATATTCCCTCTTCCTCTTTTTCTTCGTCATCCTCTTCTTGTCTCCTACGTGAATATCGCGCGCGCGACTCGAGCAAGGGATCGTTATGACTGGGATAGGTTGGTGGAAGCTTTGAGAGTAGGACAGAATGCATATGATTTTCAGCATCATACGTCGATGCTTTTTAGTTATGCTAACATTTATAATCATGTAGAAAAAACACTCTCTCTCTCTCTCTCTCTCCCTTTATATTTTTATATAATATATATAGCGCGAAACATACACAGCCTCACTTCACGCCACTACAGTGCAATCATTCGAGCAGACATTCGTATATTTTTTTTTGTTTAAATCGTATTAAAATGTACAATGATGTCGTTCCGCCGGAATGTTTCCCTAGGAATATCCGTGAAATTTTCATGAATCTTTGTAAAATTCCGCAAATTTTTAAAACGGTTGGAAATAACAAAGGAAAAAACGCAATATTTATATTGATTTTTTAAAGACTATAGATTTGGTATATACTTTTTCGATTTAGCAGTTTTTCAACGAAAAATTTGTTGTATCAGAAACTTTATTTGATAAAGGAATCATAATTCTGCGCAATATAAATTATCTATAAGTAACTGCAGAAATTATTGTTTGTGGTATAAAGATTTTCAAAAGATTGTATGATAAATAAAATAAACAATATTGAGTGATAAAAATTGCAGATCTTTCTAGTAAGATGTGCTAGGATAAGAAAGGTTCAGATGGAAATTACACCGGAAATTGATTAATATTTCCTCTGCAGGTTCTCGATTAATCTTGTGCGTATAAGATGGCTTGCGGGGTGTAATCATGATTCCTATTTTCAAACGAGTGAAATCGTATCCTTTAGAACATCCGAATTAAAAAATTAGGAAATCTTTAAACTATTTGGGACTACCAAATAGTTTTCAAAACTTCCAGATTCCCTTTTTTCCGAATTTTTCAAAAAACAGTTTCACTCTTTTACGCTCTTCGTTGTTAATCAAAATGTCCACCTACTCTTGTAAATTTCCTGCAATCAAGAACACGAATACGACTCGACGAGTCAGAGATTCCCGAAGATTGTATCCCTCTAATGCTGGTGATGCTATATCAGAAAAGTTTGCTGGTAAATTTGCAACTTGGTCTTGCAAGTTCGAGCACGCGTGTACTCTGCACAATCGATCATTGGATCCTTCGGGAATACCCGAGAGGGGACTCGAAGAGGTGATTTTATACAGAGGTGAACACGTGATGGCGCGGGGCGCGTCGACATCGTCGACGGATGAGACGACGACGACGTCAACAACGGGCGCTTGGAGACGCGATGATGAGGGACGAAGACTTCAGAGCTCATCATGCTTCGGCCCACTGAACTCGTCGTGGGAGATGAAGCCGTTCTTATCCTTATCCTCATGCTGGAAGATCTCCTCGACGAGCTTATCATGATCAGCCAGCATTTTCTTTACGTCTTCATTTTCACTAGCGCCCGCTTGCTCGGCTTCTATCACCTGCTTTCGGAGATAATCGCTCACCTGCAAACAAAAAATTGACGATGTACCGATTAATTAAAACGATTGCATAGAAAATGGCATAAACATCTACAAAGTATATTATACATATATGTAGATTTATAGAATAAAGTTAATATTGTTAAGTTTGTAATTCAGTAGAAAATTTAAGTGGATTAAAATACGCATATTAATATACTGCAAATTATTCCTGTGATACGAAAATTAATTTAAATTTCTGTGTGTCAAATTTCTTTTTGTCTATAAAATTATTATTATAATTAATATTGTAAAATTTATTTCTCATGAAAACAATTTTATAACTTTTAATTATCATGATATATCACAGCAAGCATTACATAACTACAAGTTTTTTTTTAATTTTTTGTTATACGTTATTTGTACCAATATAATGCGAATATGTATGAAAAATAATATAATAGTTTCCGGATAATGATATACGAATATATCTATAAGTATTATAGAACATTTAAAATACAAATGGATTTTAATATTATATTATTTGCGTATAAAAACAAATAGTTTATATATATTTGTAGCACTATTTTTCTATTACCAGCACCACAAATGGCCCAAATAAAAACTTAAAGTGATCTTGCCATTGCTCTCACCTCCTCGCGAGATAGTTGGTTGTCTTTGTCAGCATCGATTTCCTTAAAGACGTTAGCGGTTGGGGGCGAATCGCTAATATTCATAAGTTCAACTTCAAACGTAAGAGTAGCACCTGAAACAACAGTAACCTTTTATGTTAATTGCTTGCATAATGTATATAAATTATTATAGAGAAATACGTAGTAAAAAATTTTCTGAGAGCAATAATAATAATTAATACTAAATAATAGGAAATTTACATTTTGTTAATTAAAGTAAATTTATATTATACTAATGTAAACATTTTAATATGGTTCAAAATTAAATAAGCATAAAATTTCAAAAAAATTAATTTTCTCTTTTTTTAAATCTAATTTATTTGCTTTGTTAGAGTTAAAATTATTTTATAAAATAATTATTTTTTTAACATTTTAGACGATTTACTTTATAAAAAGTTGATATATTTAGGTGCAAGAAGATTTCCACTTCGAGAGGTTTATCCATTTACTGCAAATACTATTAATCTCGATTTGGCAAATACTCATAAATCATTTTTAGAACTCATCGATCTACTGTCAAGCACAAAGCTTTTTACACGTTTTGGCGGATATAGGTGAAAGATATATAGACTATACATTTATAGAGTAAAGGGTCAAATCGACAAGTATCCGAACGATAAAAAAATAAAAGATAATAAAAAAATAAACAGTAAATAGCAAAATAATAAAAAAACCATAATAATATAAATGCAACCTAAATGACAATCTGACATGCTGTTTTACTGAGCTGATTGGTCTACTGAATGCAATCATTGTTTTTGTAAAGTTTTGATAGAAATTCTAATTGTAATAAAAGAGCTATAAAATACATTGTTAAATTTAGAATCGAACCCAAAATTAATCATGCACACATACACGTTCAGATACCTAGACACGACCAAACATTAATAATAATGCATACAGAAATTCGATTGCCAATAATAGTGTCTATAGATATCCGAAATAACAATGACCAGCAAATGCAGCTGGGGAGGGGCTAACGAAGTGTTCGGCACGAGAGAGAATGCATACGCGCGCTCGGCACGTCCAGCCATTAATTATGGATGGTCCCGTCGCGATTAAGCTGGCCCTAATGAAATATGGCGCTTAATTATTCACTACTTAAACGAGTGAAATTAATACGGCGAATAATAATGCGCTGCCCGGTGTAACAGCCACTGTCGCCGTGGAAATTGGACGTGAGAAATGGAGAGGGATGATGGGAATATTCCAATCCTCGCACGCGGTTCCCTCTAGTATTCTTTATCATCGCATTCCGTGTGGAAGGACATTTCGATGGCAATAGTTTGCTATGTAGTTAAAAAACGCCCGCAAAGTTATATTGCTTGGCATATATACTGATATAATAAATTATTATACGTAGCAAATAGGAATTGTGGATTATAAAATTACAATAATAAGTTAAACTAGATCATTTAAATAAATCAATTAAGTAAAGAAGCGCCAATGTGGTCGAAGTTAGATCTAATAATATTTATATATATCAACATTTAAATATATTTCTAAAAGTGCTTCAAGCGCGTGCTGAATCTAGTCAGTCTTGAAAACATAAAGAGAGAAGAGTTTAAATTATAGCTGAAAATAGTAATATCACAAATTAAATTGTTTATATAACAATTTAATAATATATAATGATTAATAATAATGATAATAACAAGCATTTTAAAACACTAAAGAGAACTTACTTATTACTAAAAATATTACAGGACATCTTAATAAATTCGAAGCATATGGTAACATTTATCTCAATAACTAATATATGTACATAAGGAGAGAACTTCTTAAAAAATAAAAAAAATTGTATATAAATAATAAGTTAAAGAGTATAATATGCCGATGTGAATAAATCAATTAAGATTTGTGGCTGACATAATATTTTTAACAATAAATTTTTTGGTATTTCATAATACTTGTTAGCATTATTATTATTAATAATTAATTTAATTTTGGTATCATATGCAATTTTTATTTAAGAATATGTTTTGACCACAGTTTAAAATATTAAAAATGTATTTAAATATTTATATAGAAATATTATTAGACGCTAAGATCTAACGTCTACATTTCACTTCTTTATTTATGTGCTTATGATAAAATAATTATATATTGATATAAAAGCGTCACTTATCAACTATACTTATCATAATTTATCATTTGAAGTACATATTAATTTTGAATAAACTCGTGAAAAGATCATGTATCTGAAAAATAATAAAAAAATAAACAGTGGGACTGGAGCGAAATGGCACAATTTATCCACGCGCGAAGACCCCGCTAAAGAGGCGAATCGTTTATCATTGTTGATCCCGCCATTGCAGCATTGCCAAGAGTCGGGCAACGATGCTCAATTTAATGGTTGATGCTTTATTGGATTTCCGTGCAATTGCATTTTTGACTTCGATTTTGCTACTAACGACTACCCTTGTATCGACCTGTCCAATAGTGTTCATCGCCTCTTCCTCTTTCTACCGGTTCCTAATCCTTTCGCGCGTAAAAATGGTCCAACGTGTAATTTGAAAAATGCTCACGTTAGCGTGACGCTTTTTAATCGTGACGAATACCATTGCTGTCTGGTTGATTGTCGAATATATACCTATACAAGTGCGTATTTCAAGTGGCAGAACGGTTCAAAAAAATTAGAGAAGTACTAGCTCGCAAGCATAGAAGAGTACAATAAAATTACAGTAGCTGTTATTAATTTGTGAGCATTTATTTTATCAATTCGTGAAAAAATTGAAAAAATTTTTAATAAAATATCAATTGTTAATTACTCACACATACAAAATAATTCGTGTCTCTGAAAATATTACGTATATATACTTTTTAAAAAGATATAAAATATTGAATCAAAGTTTATATTTTTTGTAGTAAATTAATTTCCTTTTTTCCAATAATAAATGTACAGATTGTTATAGTATATAAAAATTATATACTTATACATGTTATTGTATAAAAAGACTGTTATTAATTTGCCAAATAGCCATAACTTTATTGTTATTATGTTGTTATTGTCATATTGTTCTTCAACATGTATAAGTAAATATTAAATTAATTTACTACATTAAAGTTTATTTAAATTTTAAAGATGATTAAAAATTAAAAAAGAGCTTGATTTACACATAACAAACATATTAAAAGTTTTTAAACTTATTAATTAATATCTACAAAAAATTTTATTCAGTAAATTCTATAAAGGATAAATAATAATGAATAAATATTGCATAAATGCAATACTACAGCTTTTATGGCTTTTCCATGTATAATGTACAAAATTTGACATAATATATACAATTTAATGTAACGTATACAATATTATCTATTTTATTTAAACATCGCATATTATTTGAAACTGTTTCACTTATAATGAAATATGAGTAAAATCATATATTATTGTCATTTCAATGTAATCACGTACAATAATTAAATATTAAAATATATTTTTATTTTTAATTACATACATACGTTAATTATTATTACTTCAGTATATATGACTCATTTGACTAATGAGAATTTATTTTACAAGAAAAATTTCAAATAAATTAAATTGTTCATTGAATAAGTCTGTTATTTTATATAGAATTAAGCATTAATTTTACCCAGGCAATCTTTCACAACACTAATATATTATATATGAATATTAAATTATTAAATACAAAAAACGTTAAATATAAATATTAAAAGAAATTCAAAAATAATAAAAAAATGTCAGCATACCACCAGGAATAACATTTCCAGCTCCCTTTTCGCCATATCCCAGCTCAGGTGGTATCGTCAATCTCCTTTTCTCGCCTACGCACATATCCAGAAGACCTTGATCCCAACCTTTAATAACTTGTCCAACACCAAGCTGGAAAGTAAATGGTTGATCTCTATCCAAACTGTAACAAAAAAAAGGATAATCTCACTTAGAGTTATATTCTACTAGAGTCAAAATATTAAATTAAAACACACATCCATTTCTTTGGATAGACATAATCTTTTACATTTCAAGATACAAGAAAATATAAAAATATGTTACTTATTAAAATTGTTTAGAAAAGCAATTAGTGTTATTTCTGTTCATAACATGTTTTCTTCAATCATAAAGCATTGGTATGCTATTATAAATTTGCAAAAATGTATATTAAATTGTATTACGTGAGAAAATCGTTTTTATACAATAGAAATATTCTTTCTGTGTTTGCATATCATTATGTCTACTTTAGAAGTTATGAAAAATTCTTCATTTTTCAAACATAACGGAACGTGCTCAGTCTTTATTCGCATTACATCGCGCTAACTATAGTAAACTTCCTCATTTCAGCGAGGCATCAAAATGTTTGTTGTAACAAGTTTCGCGACGACTTATTCATGTCGAGAGTTAAAAGCGACAGGCGTAAGGAGAAGAGCGACGGACTAATTGGAAAACGTGCGGAACAATCAAGTCCCATTTCGCTGCACCGCGAACTTTCACCAAGAATTCACTATTGTGCCGGCGTCGAATGCAACTTGCATGACTACGCTCGATATTTCGTATCAAATTTAAAGGCTTAGGTCGTTATTAGAAATGTCAATTTGTAGTTATGTAAAATGGAGAGAGGAAGATGGAGAGAAAGAGAGAGAAAGCGAGCATATATTTAGCGATCATTTCCAGTGCGAAAACCGACGATTTCCTGCATCAGGGGAATATTACGGAAACTAGCGAGGCAAAACCGACGTTGTACGTTTTCTGGGCCTCCTTCGAGGCATCTCAACATGGACGGTTATATATATGATTAAGAGGCACAGGTCGGGCGCACACGTAAGTTGAAAGTAACACACAGCAACATGCAACCAGATGCAGTCAAGTGGAGAACTTCATGTACGAATGCGATGTAAAAATGCAGTATGATAATATTTGATTTAAGAATTAAAAATATGAACATAAATAGAAATATGTAAATTTCTTAAAAAAAAAAACAAGAAATGAAGAAGGATCATCAAAATGCCTTATAAGCAGCATAGAAAATCTACGCATATAGCTTTAATTACTTATACAGAGAAAAGTTGTTGATATATGTTTCTTAAACACTTCCTTATTTCTCAGAAAAAAAACCATTATATTTTATTAATAGTTATAAAAAACATAATTTATTTAAAGAAAAAAAACCAATAATTTATATACTTATTGTTAGTTTTTATGTAAAATCAGCAAGAAATAAATTCTACAAATACGAAAAAAAAATATATAATCCAAGAACAAATTAGTATAACGATGCCAGCAATCTTCCTTTATCTTTGTATATAATATATCATACTTTTATACACATATATAACTCAATATATACATATATACGTAAATATACATGTTTTAGTAAATATTGTACACGTGTAATAGATTATAATATAATACTTTTTCGGAGCATTTACTGCAGAAATGCAACATAAAATGTAAAATATGTAAAGAAAACTTAGAAAGGATAGGATTTCTCATTATTTTATGATTTCTCATTTTTTATCACAGATAAATATATTTTTCATGAAATATTTTTATTTAGGAAGTAAAAATTATGCGTGGTTAAGAGAGAATTTCTGTCTACACACTTTTTTAATATAATCTTCGTCCACTTGTACTTGTGGCAAAATAAGCTCGTACTCCGTGGAGATTATATTGAAAAATAAAGGTATACAGAACATTCCTTTCATTCGTTTTCATTATACGTAATATTCTCGTTTCGGGATAAACATGAAGAATGGAAGAAGGGGCATTACATTCTCTGAATAAACTGTAGCTGTAATGAAACTCTCTTCTTACGGTCCTTTTTTATATTTTAAAATTACTTGGGAAGAATCATAATTATGTTTTAAAATATGCGTAAAACATAATCCTATTATTGAAAAACATATTCGTATATACATATATATATAAAGAAAATTCATTTAATATTATTAATATTCATTATTTCTGATATCGTTGATTATTTCGAATTATTGCAGATATTTAAGAATGATCCTCGTATTCTTAAATTTTATTTCCGCTCAATTTCACTTTATCAAGATACACGTTAACTGCGAGTGGGAAAAGCGATATTGAGTATCGTGGGCGCAATATCATAGGACCGATCATTTTTCCCGCCATCCTGAGTGCAGATGATATAGTCAATTTCCAGCGTTATTGGTTTTTGGCTACCTTGCTATGAGGCAAGTCTATACCTAAGGGCAGATTATTTTTTTAGTGATTCGTCATACTAATAAATAACATGCTTTTCTATTGCATTCATCGCAATGATAAACATTTATTATAATTTTGTTAATCTTATTAATATATATTTATATTTTACAAATTACAAATCCAAAATAATTGTCCCATATTTATATAAAATTTATCTCACTTGCATGATCTAGCCCCGTATTAATACATTTCATACATATTTATACACACATAAAAGTACAATCATGATCAGAATTTTTATTCCACGTAGTTTCACATTGACTTTATCGAAAAATATTTTCTGCTATCCCGGATTTGCGATATCGCAGAACAGCACGATAGTTTTTCCAACGCGCATAAAAGCGATACCAGCCTGATGCATTATCGGCTTTCGGACGACATACGACATTTTTCAAGAGAAAACATCAATATTTTGTCGTGAGATAGCCAATGTGTCATTTTTCTTGAAAAGAACAATACTAAATATTTTTTTATTATGTTATTAATAATTTATTTTGGCAGAGAAAAACAAAGAGACAGAAACAAAGAGAAAAGGAGAAAAAGAAAGAGAAAGAAGTGTAATTTACACAAATTATATTACATAAAATATAAGTTAAAAGTCAATATTAAGAAAAATCTGAAAATTTGTAAAATATTTAAAACTAATATATATTTTTATACATAATGTAAAATAAAGCAAAATGCAAATATCACAGAATCTTTTTGACTCTCAAAATAATGCTTATATTTAAATAACTTTATTACAAAATTATATTAAATAGTTATATAGTAATATAAATCGCTGTTGGAAAAGAAATTGTATTTATTTAAGTTTATATTAAACCGAGGAAAAATATTGATTTTTCTCAATTGTAAACTCCTATTACATATATCTTATTCGTAACTATTAAGGAACAAAAGTTCTTAGCGTTAATAAACTTCAAAATTCGAATAGCTCTAATAATTAATTTTGCTAAAAATAAATAAAATTTAAATTTAAAAAAGTTCTAGACTTAGAACTTCTACATTTGGAAAAGCATTATGTCTTTTGAATTTCTGTAATTTTTTTTTTAATAATTTTTACATATAGAAAACTACAAATTACATATACAAAACTGAACAAATTGGGAAATTTTCTTCTCACTTTGTGAACTTATTATGTATCCAGAAAAACTTGCAAAACTTTTAGACTTTCCAGTATAAAAGCTAAAAGTTTTTCTTATACAAAATCATTTTTTTGTTACTGAATTATCGCGGATTAAATAAAAAGAGCATTTTGTGCATAACTTTGTTAAGAATCATCGCGTATTACAATTCAATAAAACAAATTCTTAAAGTTAAAGCTAAAGCTTTGTATAATTATCAAATTTTTTAAACCTATAGACATGATACAAATTTTTTAAACTTATAGACATAATACAAATAAAGCAGCACGAATTCTTGTTCAAATATTAAATACTTTTAATATTAAAATCGATAATATAGCTAATTGTATCTTTGTATAACATCTTTTTTCTACTTATGCAGTAGTATACGTATATTCAACTACTTTGTAAATATTTGAGAGAATTTCTTCGTACGGACAGAATCCAGTTCCCTTAAATTTTCCGTTAATCTCTGAAAAGTCTACTAATAAAATATTTCCAGCTCACCTTGTCAATAAGCAGTAACTATATGTTTATGTTACTTCTCATGCATAATTAACGCAACTGTATCATTACATCGAAAGTAGCATCAAATTATTCATGTTATAGGATTATATGTAGTATTGAGCGCAGCTCAAATACCAATATACAATATGATTATGGCGTTTCAATATCCTTTTGCTCGACTGATTGTTAATATAACGATGTATTGATAATAAAACATTGAAATTGTATAGACATGAAAATCAAATGTAACTCTCAACAGCGGCAAAAATATTGCTTATTTAACCGTATCGATGAGGTTTTCATTTCCCAAGCAATTAAACTGAATGATACGTTATATTGACTATCTGAATATGCCAAGTCAATTAAAAACATATTTGACAAAAACAATTGTTATTCTTCAATAAATGACTTTCAAGCATTTATAAAATTTTTTTCGACAAAAAGATCTCTAATTATATTTTCTTTTATCTACAAAATTTAATTTATGAAAGATTTAATTTTTGACAAGAATATCTCTGTACTAAGAAATTCTAATAGATTATTAATTATCAAATACGAAGTCAGAAAGTTTTTATCTTCTATATTTAAACCTCTCAAAATGATAATAAAAATAAAAATTTTAAACAAGTGAGAAAGATAATTTTAGACACAACAATTCTCGATCTATAATTTCTCGACGTTTCTTTATCTCAGTAGGATGATAAGATAATTAAAATAAGTATATCACATATCTTATGCTTGTGTAATTATTCCATTAACAGAACACACACACACACACACACACACACACACAAACACACACACTTTATGACTATGCAACATTTATGTCTATAGTTACATTATTCTGTGACCATGTATTTTAATAATGAACCAAGCGATTGTATTTTTCAACATAGATCCGCTGACAGTTGATAGATATTATATTTCTGATATGTGACATGAGCGCCTATCAGCCCTAACAGACTTCAACTTCACTTAGTGTGTTAATAGATGGAGTTCGAGAAATGCAAGACATTTTATGGTTAACGTAATTAGTGCATTTGCGTACATAAAATGAATGATTAATATCGTAATATAAA